GATCTGCCCACTCCATCAGGATCACCTGGAAAGGTACAAGGCGGTACACTGTGCGCTAGGTAATAACCCAAAGGAGCCCACAATACGGTTACACTTCCATCAAGCTGAATTGGAGCGCCACCCTGCTGGGCCATCCGGGAGCCCTAGCGATGGGGCTCTGTGGGCAGCCATTTGCCTTTGGAGCCCTAGAATGGTGTACGCCCAGTTTTCCCACAGGGGTCACCCCTGTCCATCGGGTGGCCAGCGTCACCACATCCTCGGCTGGGTTCCCCTTTGGCTGCGCGCTCAGCTCGCCGCGGCGGGCCTGGACCTGCAGCGCCCCCTGGCGCCGGCCTGGACCTCACCCCAAAGATGTCTACAGGCCAGCTTATGGCTCGGCCTCCGTCGCTCTGAGTGCGCTGAACAGCTCCTGCCAGGCCCGAAGCTCCGCAAACTCCATCACTACAGTGCCTCATCTCTGTCCAGGTCCCGCCCTGCACCACCGGGTGACGCCGAGGAGTTTCGAGGAAGCCACTAACACAGACTGGTGGGGGACCAGCAGAGCTGGGGTGCTGCCATGGGCGGCGCCTTCAGTGTGGACTTCTAGTTGCAGGCCTGGACCCCTCTTCATCTTTCTTCTCTGAACTGGCTTCTGCCTAGTTGATGGCTCTCATCATAGCCAAGCTCGTCTCCTTTCCTGGACACTGGGTGTGGTGGTCAGTTCAAACTGGGCACAGGGCAGAGAAAAGGACATCTTCACAACAGGGGATGTGCATGAGAGGGATTTTAGGAAATGTTTCTCTTTGTGGAAGTCCTCACCTGTGGGGTGGTAGGTAGGGGAGTCAAGGTGGTTTGGATGCAAGGGGAGGTGGGGAGTTATCTCTGGGAATACAGGGAGGAGAATGTCCCTGGCCTCTGCCTTTGCACTCAAATCAAATCTAGAGTGGGCAGTGGCTATGTCTTCCATAATAGGAGAATTTCTACTGGTGCTACACAGGGCACAGGATTTTTTTTTTTTTTTTTTTTTTTTTTTTGCTTTAAACAATTTATTTAACTGAAATGACTTCCCTTTATTTAACTGAAGTGACCTCTATTTTATTTTGATACATCTCTGCCCTATGGTGATCTTTTCCCCAGTGGATCTTCAAGCCAATATAAATATTTCATAAATATTCGGCCGTTTGGGATAACCTACACAATACTTCAGCAGTATCTTTCAGCAAGAAAAACACCACTGAGTTAAGACCTGACATACACTTAGCCGCCCATTAGGTGCTGAATGGCAGAGCTCCCTCCCCAGCTTATGCCATGAATTCATAGGGAATGGGTTCCAGCAATTCAGGCTCCTTCCCATTGGTCCTCACAAAGTGTGCTTCTCTGGGCGGGGCAGGCTGGCGCTTTAGTTGAACCCAGGTACCTTTCTCTTTGGCTTCCTTCTTTTTCTGATCATTTTCCTTGACACGTTTCAGGAAGCTATCACGACTCTTTGAGTGTTTAATTTGCTCAATACGCACATTAATCCTCTTGGCCAGGATCTTGCCCTTAACTTGCTTGTTTACAACAATGCCAACAGCATGCTGGGTAACATTGTAGACTCTTCCTGTTTTGCCATGATAACATTTGTGTGGCATTCCTTTTTGTACAGTACCCATTTCCTTGATGTCTACAATATCACCCTTTTTGTAGATTCGCATGTATGTGGCCAAAGGAACAACTCCATGCTTTCTAAAAGGCCTAGAGAACATATACCGGGTTCCCCTCCTCTTTCCCTTTGTGTTCGTCATTTTGGCGAATTACTGGAAGATGGCGGTTCCGGCCAAAATGGGGGCACAGGATTTGAGTATAGTTCTGGACAGGTCACTAGCTTTCCCAGATAAGTGTGGGCCTCCTGGGATGTTTCAGGTTTGGGCCAGCTGTGGTGCAACACCAAGGGCCCTGAGAAGCACTGCAGGACATTGGGTCAGTGTGGACTCCTCTTGGATTCTGAGTGGATTGTGGGTGGAGCATGGAGATGGGCAAGGGTTGTGACCAGAGGGGCCGCGCTGGGTCAGCACACAGGGCTGGACAGCACCTTGCTGTGGTCCATGACATTAGTGTAGGGATGTCACTCACTCTCTGCTGTGCCATGGTTCACTCCCCAATTGAGCAGAGTCCACGGAAGCAGATGAAAAAACATTCTGGATCTGTCTGAACTTTGAGATTCCTCCTTGGTGTGGCCTGGGACCTGGCATCTGCTTTCACGGGGTGGAAGATCCAGGAGAATTAGTCTTTCCGGATGTCACAGAAATAATCCCCTGTAGCATTTCTAACTACAAAACTTAAAAAAAAAAGTGGTGTCTCTCTCATACAGTAGCTCATATAGGGCTGAATATTTCTTCTAATTGATGAGGGAGCTGAGAGGAACTGACTGACCTCTAAATCACACACCCAAGGAAGAGTTTGAGACAAAGCTCCAGCTACTGCCCGGGTAGAAGCAGATCCTTCCCTGCACATAGAGACAATCCTAAGATGCCCTTATTGAAGGGACACCCCCCTCATGCCCCAGAAAGAGATGAGGGTGGCTTAAGTCTTGAGAAGGCAAGGGGCTGGGGTTTTAGCTCAGCGGCATAAGTGCCTGCTTTGCAAGCACATGGTCGTGAGTTTGATCCCCGGTACCGATAGAAAAAGAAAAAAGAAAAAAAAGTCTTGAGAAGGCCAAGCAGCGTAAGATGGGGAGCCCAGGTCAGGCCGGGCTACACCCAGGATTTTCAGCAAGGCTGTGAAGACTGTGAGATACCTGAGTGTGGTGGCCTGTGCCTGTAACTGCAGCACTCTGGGAAGCTGTGGAAGGAGAATCACAAGTTCCAGCTCTGTCTGGGAAACATAGTGACTTAGCAATACCTTGTCTGAAAAGCAGGGAGGTTGGGGATGAAACTAAATGTTCAATCCTAGTACAGCAAAGAAACACACACACTGTTCAGGCATGGTGGTGCACACTTTTGATACCAAGTACTCAGGGCTGAGAGTAGGAGGATCATAAATTTGAGACCAGTTTAGGCAATTTAGCAAGACATTGTCTTTTTTTTTTATTTAAGGAGAAAAAGAAAAAAACAGAAAAAGGGTACAAGTAATACAAAATTTAAAAATAAACAGTAAGTAGTCACTAGTTAATAGATTACATATTCTCATCTTAGAAATAGTTGTTCAAGTTACAAAATTAAAGCATATAAAGTGGACTTCCAAACAGTGAGAGTGCAAACAGTTTTGCTCAATGATCCAAAAAAACTCAGCAATATGGTTATCTATCTTATACACTTAAACATATATGCAGTTATAACCTTTAGAGAGACATTGTCTTAATATCAAAAATTTTTAAAGGGCTGAGATGTAGCCCAATGTAGAGTATGTGCAAGTTGGTGCAAGATCCTGGGTCAGGCAAGGCCCTGTCTCAAATAGACAACAAACAAACAAACAAAAAATCCTGAGTTCTAAGTATGACTACAACAAAAATTTTTTTGTCTGTTTCTTTTTTTATCGGTACCGGGGATCAAACTCACGACCACACACTTGCAAGGCAGGTGCTTATGCCACTGAGCTAAATCCCCAGCCCCAACAAAATTTTTAAAAATACAGTAACTGAGTATGATAGGGGCTACCTAAAAAAAAAAATCTCACTTTAAGAAAGCTGAGACAGGAGGATTGTGAGTTCAAGGCTGAGACAGGAGGATTGTCAGTTCAAGGCCAATGTGGGCTACATAGCAAGTTCAAGGCTAATCTGGACTACATAGCAAAATTCTTTGTCTTGACAACAACAACAGCAACAAACCCCAAACAAACAAACAAAAAGGTTGGGCACATCTGTCATCCCAGCACTTGGGAGGCTGAGGCAGGAGGATTGTTGTGAGTTTGAGGTCAGCCCAGGCTACAAGTTGAGTTCAAGTCTAGCTTGAACTGCATAGTGAAAGTTTGTCACAAAAAAAACAAAAGGCAATCTGGACTACTCATCTCAAAACAAAAACAGTAACAACAACAATTAATCCTAGGAGATGTAATATATTTAGTGTTGAGAGTTACTTATTGCTTTGTGGTGTGAAGTGTGGAGGTCTGGAGGTCGACGGTACTGAGTCCCTAGTCTCAGTTCTGGTTTTGGCTTCCGGTACAGTCTTGGAGACGGTCTGTAACTAAGTCATGAGGGCATTCAAGATTCATCATAACCCATAAATTCAGACTCATCTGCCTAGGATTCCCTCATTTGGGTCAGAGGTGATTCGTCTTTTCTCTGGTCTATCTGCCCCTTTAAGATTTGGAACTCTGGTGAGGGGAGAGAGGAACCTGTGGTTGATATATATATTTTTTCTTTTTTCTTTTTTTGGTACTGGGGATGAACTTACGACCATGCTCTTGCCAGGCAGGCGCTTATGCCGCTGAGCTAAATCCTCGGCCCCTGTGGATAGTATTTGAAGACCATCCATCTCCAGGTCCCAACAGAAGAATCTAGCACCAGCCAGGCCCTAAGAACAAGTCTTCTCTTTCCTCCATTCTACGTCTTCAACTGCTTAGGGGTACTGAGCATCTTCTGGTCCTCAGAGGTCCGCATCCCTGGGCAGCGCAGAACTCAGCTGCAACTCAGTAAACATTCCCCGGTGGCCAAGTCTCAATACATATCTCTTTTTTTCGCTAGGAAAAGTGACCCGGGCAGGGAAAGGCAAGTTCCTGCGCGCCACAGGATCCAGCTGATTTTAGTTCCGCCAGTGTCTAAACTTCCTATTTCCCAGGTGAGATGAGAAGATTCAGAAAGTCTGGAGCCAGAAGGTAAAGGAGATTTAGTCTCATGCATTCTTTTTACATGCAGAGCAACAAATCTGGAAAGTGGCAAAGTTCACAGATAGCATTACAGAACAAATCCTTCCATGATTTGACCTAATTTTGAAAACTCGAAATTGCTATCAAGTGTACCAACGCTCTACTTATGAGGCCTGGAACAGTGAGCAGGATCAATCGATTGCTTTTGACTGTTAGTGAATAACGAGCTCTGATTGGTCGTAATTCAGGAAGCGGGAGGGGGGAGGGGCTGCGCCAGAAGCCGAGGCGTGAGAGGGCGGTTCCGGCGTGGGAGCTGGTGGAGCTGTGCACCCATGGCGTCGCTGAGCTGTGGCACCGTGGTCTGCGTGATCTGCTTGGAGAAGCCCAAGTACCGCTGCCCGACCTGCCGCGTGCCCTAGTAAGACGGGGTGACATAGGGTGGAGAGCGCGAGGATCCTGCCGGGGTGCTGGTGGGGTGGAGGCCGGGAGGGGCCTCAGCGCCTTCTCGGCTGACGGGGCTGTGTTTCTGTTACAGCTGCTCGGTGACCTGCTTCAAGAAGCACAAGGGTAAGGACCCGGCATCCCCGCCTCAGCCCCGTCCCAGCCCCGCAGGTGGCAGCGCCCACTGCCTGTCGTGTCCTTTAGACTCTGTTGCTTCCGATCCGGTGGCATCCCGCAGCCGCCCCGCGGCTTCTGCTTCTTGTCCCCGGTGTCCCGGAACCGTCTCTGGTGTTCGGAACCTCTGTGAACCCTGTGTAGTTTTCTATCAGACCTTCTTCTACCTGCCATAGTAGTTTTCTTTTTCTTTAAAAATAGTGATTGCTTGAACTTCCAATACTGAGATAAATAAACCTTTTGTTGTTATTTATTTATTGAGACAGGGTCTCTGTAGTTAAAGCTGACTTTGAAGTCATTATGTAAGCCAGGCTGGCCTCCAACTCACAGTGATCCTCCTCCCTCAGCCTCCTAGGAGTCTGAAATTGCAAGCATGCGCCACCACGCCAGGCTAAACATTTTCATTTTCTTTTTATTTATTCGTGGGTTTTTTGTTCTTTGTATTTGCCTTTTTTTTTTTTTTTTTTTTTTTTTTTTTTTTTTTTGTACCGGGGATTGAATTTATGACCTTGCACCTGCCCTATTTTGTCAGAGTCTCACTATGTAGTCCAGGCTGACCTTGAGCTCACTTTGTAGCCCAGGCTGGTCTCTAATTTGTAACTTTACTGCCTCACCCTCATGAGTGCTGGGTTTATAGGCGTGTGCCACCATGCCTGCTGTAAACGTTTTCTAATTTAAAGAATATCCGACATCTTCTGCTTTTGCAGCAGGTCGCCCCTAGCTGTTTCTTCATCTTAGTATTTGGACCTAGTCCCTCACAGTTTGATGCTGTGTCTCTTTCAAATACATTAATGTCTTGTTAGAACCAATGAGGTAGGTTTGTTTACAATAAAGAGAAAGATCTTCGCCCTATTAAGAGAAAAAAGCCTAAAGCTCTATCTATGTATGATGTGAAAATGTTTTTGTACAGTTACAAAGAAGTAATATTTACCTGTGCATCATGGATGATTTGTGTATGCACTTAACGAATCTTTTTTTTTTTTTTCACTTAACGAATCTTTAAAAATCTCTAAGATGTGTGATTAAGAAATGTATGTGACTTTAGGAAACTTAATTAGCACTGTCTGGCTGCTTCTTTTATTTGGGTCATTTTCCACTTAAAAGTTAACATTAAAATGTTAGTGACAGCTAGGATGTAGGGTATAGCTCAATGGTAGAGCACTTACCTAGCACTTGAGGCTCTGGATTTGTTTCCCAACACCACAAGAAACAAACAAAACCCCTAAACACATTATTTCTAACAAGAATTTATTTATTTATTTATTTATTTATTTATTAACTGGGGAGTGAACTTAGGGCTTTCGAACTCAGCTACATCCCTAGCACATTTTTTAAAATTTTATTTTGAGACAGGGTACCCTGGAGTTGCTAAATTGCCCAGACTGGGCTTAAATTTTGTGGTTCTCCTGACTCAGCTTCCCAGAATGCTGGGATTACAGGCCTGAACTACCAGGCCCAGGTTTCTCAGAATCTGGCTGATTCCTGAACTGTGCTTGTCTGTTAAACTTATTCTTGTGATACTGTCTTTGATCTCATTTGTGGGTACTCTTCTTCTCTTTCCTTTTCTCATTCTATCTCCCTCTTTTTTTCTTTCCCCTATTCCTTTTCTTTTCTTTTTTTTGAGACAGAGCTCACTATACAGTTTAGGCCGGGTTTACACTCACTGCGTAGCCCAGATTGCCTTCAAATTTGAGATGACCTTTCGGCTTCAACCTCTTGAGTGCTGGGATCCCAGGCATGTGCTGGCCATGCCCAGTTCTCTTTTTTCTTCTTGACATCCAGATCTTTAACTCCAAAATATTTTGGTCTCTGGAAACAAATGTTTCTATTTCGGTGTCAGATATAGTTAAAAGGAAAAATCTTTGTTTTTTGTTTTGAGACAAGGTCTCACTGTGTAGTTCAAAATGGCTTTGAACTCCCTAGGTAGTTGAAGCTGGTCTTGAATTTACAGGGACCCTCCTGCCTTAGCCTCTGGAGTGCTTGGATTACAGGGGCATGACACCACACCCAGCTTCTACCTTAACTTTTGGTTCCTCCTGTCTTCTTTCTCCACAGAGCACAATCATTCTTTTTTTTTTTTTTTTTTTTGTCTTTTTGAGACAAGGCAGTTCAGGCTGACCTTGAGCTCACTTTGTAGCCCAGGCTGGTCTCGAACTTGCAAAGATCCTCCTGCCTCGCTTCCTGAGTGCTGGGATTATAGGCGAGAGCCACCACGCCTGTCTGAGCGCAATCATTCATAAGTGTTAGGCTGGAGTGTAAGTACCTGCCTGTCAGGGATGAGGTTGTGAGTTCAATCCTCAGTACCAAAAAAAAAAAACAAAGAGAGAGACTAGAGTCAGGCATGGTGACACATCTGTAAGCCAACATGTAGAAGGTTGGGGCAAGAGGATCACTGTGAGTTCAAGGCCAGCCTGAACTACATAGTAACAACCTGTCTCAAAAAAGAAAATTAGATCTGGGTGCAAATTTTGCCACTACTAGTTAGTGAGGACCTTGGACATGTTTCTCTATTACCAGAAAACTCAGTTCTCTCATTGGTGAGTGGTATTAGGGGTCTGCGTCACGGATGGTGTGTGAAGGTTCAGCAGGACACCACGTCTGTGGGACAGTGCTTGGCCCTTAGTCCCTGGCAGCTGTTGCAGCCATCTCCTGCGTGATGGGCCCCGTTTTCCTTTCCCCAGCACACAGTTTACGAATCTTGCCGCTGGCTGAGTCTGCATTTGATGTCTCTTCCATCTGCCCAGCTCCAGCTCCTGCTCCTGTGTGCTCCATCATTCCTCGTGAGTTGTTTTGCCTTTGCTTTTATCCCTTCCAGTCTCTGGTTTTCAGTGCTGGTTTACAGTAGTACCACTGCTCTTTTCCTATTGAGCATTTTCAAAAGAAACCTTACAGCCCCCGAGAGGAAAGAAATGGAGTTGTTTTGCTGGAAATAAGGCTGGGGGATCTGGTCCTCTTACCCTGCAGTCCTAGCTCCTCTAGGAACGCCTTGGGCAATCAGGGGCTCGTTACCCTGTGTTCCTGCTGCTGCCAGGATGGTTTTCCTGGAAACTCAAATCTGAGGTACTACACTTGTCTGTCCTTTGATGAAAACTCAGGTTTTTTATTGAGGACAGTGTTCGTTAGAGAGACATTGTCACAGTGTTTTCGTTGTCATGGTGGCACAGTAGGGATTAGTTCTGCTATTGATTGTACCAGGACTCATGTAGAACCTGCAGCCTGTGAGACCACCAAAGTCCTTCATGCCCTAAATGCCAGTGGCACTCTTATTGAGATACTGTGGGATGGGGAGGGGAGGTCGATTTCCTGTGGTGGCATTCTTTATTTGACAGGGGGTGGGTTTAAGACAGGGTCTGTGTAGTTCAATGTAGTTCAGGCTGGCCTTGAACTATGTGGCACTGGCTGGCCTTGAATTCAAAGCAATCCTTCTAACTAACCTCTTGAGTGTTGGGATTATAAATGTGCATCACCAGTTGTGACAGCTGTGGTGGCATTCTTTTGCTCTGGCTTCTTTTATGTCCCAAATACCTGTCACATCTGTCCTACCAGTCAGTCATCACATCTGGCATCTGACTTTGTTCTGTCAGGATCATAGACCTTTTCCTCTACCAAGTCACTTTTCTCTCCATTGAGTCTTCCTGGTCTTATGTCCTGATTTTCTCAGGTGGATACAGACCAAATCCTTTTTACCTTATCTCTCTTGCTGTTGGCCATGACTAAGCTTCTCCAGAGTGGGAGTGGTGCTTTCAGCTGTGTGTACCCACTGGCACATGCTGCATATAAATCTTGATACCTTAGCTGGCTGAGAAAGTCATGTGATGCTTATTGAAATCCGTGCATCACTGAATTAGAGTGAAGGCTTATGAGATTAGGCAGGGCAGCGGCTGTGGGAACAGGCTCTTGGGATGTACGAGCCCAGCTTCCTCAGCCCTGTCGGCCTTAGGGTTGCTCCTGGTTTTCCTTATTCTGCTCCTACGTATCCATCTCCACCCTAAACACATATTTTCCTCTTTGGTTTGGTGGCATATGCTGCTTTGGAGGAAACATATGTCTGACGTTTTCTCTTTCAGAGCAGTGCAACCTTGAAACTCGTCCTGTTGACAAAAAAAGATCAGCTCCTCCTGTCAAAGCTACACAGCCTGAGGAAGGTTGGTTGGTTGCATTGTTGAGGGGAGGAAGTATGGGGGCAGGATGCAGAGGAAGAAGGCCCTGGCAGTGGTCTGGGTGTTTGTGGTGGCCCCTGGTGGCGGAAGCCTCCCTCAGTTACAGCTTTGGGTGTCCCTCCTGGGCCTGGCTGTCACTTTACCTGAGCAAGGTTCAGACAAGAGACTTCCTTTGGTTTGGGTCACCTTTTCCTGGGGGCTCCTCAGAGCTTATTGTGGCAGTAGGCTGTCATTCTTTCCATCCATCCATCCATCCATTCATCCATCCATCCATAATTTCCCTAATAACTTTGGGTGTCATGCACTGTGCCAGGCCATGCTAGCAGCTGGTCTGGTTCCACCAAAGAGGTTGAAGATTCACAGCCAAAGGATGGACCATTTCTGGCCTTTGAAGAACTTCCCGGTTGGGTTCAGGCAGTGCCATGCTGAAGCACAGGGGATTCTGCTTGACAGGTTTTTAAGAGAGCTGCTTGTCACTGGTCTATCATGGTGCTGGAGCCGGGATGAGGGGAGATGGGCTGCATAGGCTCCAAGCCTAGGGATACAGGGAAGCCTGGAGTACGTGTGCAGAATGCAGTTGCTCAAGTAAAATCACCAATTCTTACCTCTTACTTCTCTTACTTCCTCCGCACATGAGCAGATTGGTGTAACTGTTAGTGTAATTCCAGAGAAGGGTGTTGTTATTTTATTTTTTTTTTTTTAAGAAGGGTGTTATTTTTGTTCTGCTGTCAGCTACGTGTATACCCTGTCCCATGCATTGGCAAATACATTTTTTATTGTTGGTACGGGGGATTGACTTCACACTTGCCAGGCAGGCACTTATGCCACGGAGCTAATCCCCAGCCCTGCATATACATTTTTATTTGGAACAGGTGTTAAAATCATTTGCCTGTGTTGAGTTCTGAATGGTTGATTGTGCTGTTTCTCAGATGACAATTCCTCTGTAGCTGATTTTCTCAATAGTGATGAGGAAGAGGACAGAGTATCTTTGCAGAATTTAAAGAATTTAGGTAAGTCTGTCTTATTTCCTTGTTAGCCACTGAGATACATTTATCCTGTGTACACAATGTGATTTGGGATGAGTGTGCATTGCATTGGGGATTGAATCTAAGAACTATGTACTTCCGTGCTACCCTCCTATCCCTAATTTCCTTTTTTTTTTTTTTTTTTTTGGTAAAAGTAAGCTTTTAAAAACTTGCTATGCTTTTTTTTTTTTTAATCAGTACCGGGGATCAAACTCATGCCTGCCTGCTTGCAAGGCTGATGCTTATGCCACTGAGCTAAATCCTCAGCCCCTAAAAACTTAATAAAGAATATAGCACAAAGGCTCTTCTGCTCTAGCCTCATGGTTCTGTAGATGTTTATGTGCCCTGCCCACAGTGCTTGCCACCTGCCTGGAATCCTACTGATCTTCCAGGTTAGCAAAGCGTGCTTCATGTTTTTGCTAAGCTTTTCATGATCTATTGTCAAAATACACTCTACTCTGGCTGGCCTTCGTACCTTGGATTTAGTTTTATGAGAACCTGTCTCCCATTCCAATCTGTACAGCAAGGACCTACATTCCCAGTGCTTGCCTAACATTGATATACCATTGATATACACTGGTAATCACAGGACGTGAGGTTATTTTAGGGGTAAATGGAGTTAATTCTCATTTTTTGTTGGGTTTTGTGGCACATGCATATAATTACAGCATGCTGGAAAGCTAAGGCAAGAGGATCACAAATTTGAGCCATGCAACTTAGTGACTTTTTAAGGTCCTGGTTCAAAAATATTAAGAACTAGAGATATAGCTCAGTGGAAAGGCCTCAAGTTCGTTCCAGTATCTCACACACACACAAAATGAAAATCCTGTTGTTTTTGCAGCACTGTTTATTTCTCATAACAGTTCTGTTATATATATAATTAATGAATTAATGTAGTTCCTACAGATGGGGATTTTTATTCTTTCTACGTCAGAGTCAGGGTGAAAGATGATTGGTCCCATGGTAGTGATTAGACTGAGGTTTAAAAAGCGTTATGAACCGGGTGTGGTAGTGCACACCTATAATCCCAGCTCTTGGGAGGCTGAGGCAGGAAGACAGTTGCAAGTTCAAGATCAGCCTGAACTGCATCGTGAGACCTTGTCTCAAAAAATAAATAAAACATAAAAAGCATTACAAAGCCCTGTACAGGTGTTAATGCTCATTTTCTGTGCAATCTGGATGACAGGTTTAGGTGCTGAGTATTTGGTACAAATGTTAGCACTGAGCACTTTATGCCTGTGTATGGAGAAAAAGGACATCAGTGTCGTGCTATTGTTTTGTGTATTTGTGCTGATAAAACAGAACCCAAATTTTTTTTTTCTTTTTCATTTTTATCGGTAAAAATGGGGATCGAACTCACAACTGCCTGCTTGCAAGGCAGGTGCTTATGCCACTGAGCTAAATCCCCAGCCCCAGAACCCAAATTTGATATTGAATTTAACTTGGAAGTCATTGATATGCTGGTCCTACTTGTTTATATGTGAAACACTGGGGTTGTGAATATTGTGTCATCATTCTGGTATCCATGGGGGAGGGGCTGGTTTCAGGCTACACCCCCAGCTCAAGTTGTTTATATAAATGGTGTATTTGTGTATCACTTACATGACACTTAGAACCATCTCTGGGTTACTTATATAGCTTATAACACACTGTAAATAGTTGCATTATGTAATGAAGTAATGGCAGTGAAAAGTTCATACATGTTTACTGGTATTTTTGCTTTTTTTTTGTTTGAGGTACTGTGCATGGAATCAGAGCTTCCACACTGAATGACATTCTTAGCTCCCCCCATTCCTGCTTTTTTTGGGGGGGTCTTTTTGAGAGTCACTATGCAGTTTGGGCTGGCCTCAAACTCGCAGTGGTTCTCCTGCCTCAGCCTTTCAAGGGCTACAATTACAGGCATGCTCACCATGCCTAGCCCCTTTACAATTTTGAGGTAGGGTTTCATTGCATCACCAAGTTGCCCAGGGAGGGCTCAACCTTGGCAACCCTCCTGCCTCAGCTTTCTAAAATGCTGGGATTACAGGTGTGTGGCATTATGCCGAGCTTGTTTTTTTGTGTTTGTAGTAGTTGCCCGTGTGGATTCAGAACGTGTGGCAGTTGGGGGCCTGTGTAGGTTAAGGGGATACAGTGGTTTTTTTTGTTACTGTTTTTCGTGATACCAGAGATCGAACTCACGCTTGCCAGCCAGGTCCTTATGTCACTGAGCTAAATTCTCAGCCCAGGGATACAATGTTTATAACATTTGAAACATCTGCATGGGTTCCCATTTGAACTTGACAGGCTTTTTTTCTTGTCAACTTGTAAGGTGAATCTGTACCATTAAGAAACCTACTGCTTAATCCCCACCTGAGACAGCTGATGGTCAACCTTGATCAGGGAGACGACAAAGCGAAACTCATGAGAGCCTACATGCAAGAACCCTTGTTTGTGGAGTTCGCTGACTGCTGTTTAAGGATTGTAGAACCGTCGCAGCATGAAGACTCTTAGGGTGGCTTACTGCGCTCCTTGCTGAAGCATGTAACTGACACCCAGGACCTGTCCATTGCTCCTCCCAGGAGGCCACCTGGTGTGGGCTCTATGCGAGGCAGGTGATATCCTAGAGGCAGCTGACAGGGTCTCATGTGTTTCAGACAGATGAGTTTATACAGGGTGGCACTCCTTTGTGAGGAGACTTGGCATACATTTACGTGGCTGTTTTAAAATATTTTATCTTTGGTACAATTTGGGTAGACATCATAAATATCAATGAAAAGTTCTCTGGCTCCAGTCATGTCTTGGTAATCACCACCCCTGCTGATGCTCAGTGTATAGCCCCAGGCCTGCTGGGGCACTGGCCATGCAGCCCTGGCTGGTAGGCTGGAGCTGCTACGGGAATAGTTTGACATTGGTTGCTTAAGTATCTTTGTCGAGGCAGCTGAAGCTGGCAGGAAAAACCCTTGTAGAAACAAAGGCACCAAGGATCACCCCCGCCCTGTGAGAGTAGTGGTGAGGTCAAAGATGGACTGGGCTGTGTCTTTCCAGCAGAATCTGATTAAAGCCAGTAATACTGTAGGGCGAAGGTTCAGGGCAGATGTCAGCGTAGCGCAGTGGAGACTTTCTGCAGTGGAACTTTATCGAACCCTAGGGAGAGAGAGAGAAATGAATCCCAGCCTCAGCTTCCTGGAGTGCCAGGCCCTAAAGGTACCCCAGCACAAATGCTAGAAATGTGAGGCAGGGTGGACAAGTACTGGTGTGGTGGCCCCAGCACTGAATTAATGACTGCAGGTAGAAGATCAAAACATTTCTGTTTATACTCATGCTGGCCTATGAACTTTCATGGGAGATTTAATCCAGATTATGGCCAACAGTGATTCCTGCTGTGTGGAGATTCTATTTCCTTTCCTCTGCCTTGTCAGTTTCACTGACTTCTTGCTGTGGCCCATGTAACAGCTGAATATTAACCTGTTGTATAGATAAAGAAATGGAAGCTATGTTGATGTACTTTTGCCAAGGTCATCTAGTACATGAAGCAGAGCCAGGCCCCAGATCCTGAGGCTCTGCCTTTGATTATAACACACCTATCTCCTGTTCTTTTCTTAGCCGATTGGCATGAGTGTGGGCTTGGTGGGTCAACCTACACTGTCTGAGGATTTGGACCACTGTCTCATTTCATCAGCTGGAAAAGGAGATAAACCAAGTTACAATGTGAGGAGTCCTGGGCTGTAGTGGTTGCCCAACATGTGCAAGACCCTGGGTTAGATTGTTACTGCCACACAAAGTGTAAAGTTTAAGGAAAACCTGGTACCAAATTCAGTGTCATCTGAGGTGAAAAACTTGTCATACCCAAGTTTTTTCAAAGTAGGACTGATTAAAAGACTCAGCTAAAACAATCAAGAAGCAGCTTTTCAGAAGTGAAGGGCTGTGGAAGAGTCCCAGTTCCCAGCTCTAACTGGAAATAATCCAAACGTGTAGCTGTCTTGGGAGCCCTGGTGTCTGAGCCCAGTAGGGCCTGGGAAGGTCATGTCCCATCTTGGTCTTCCTGCTGTGGGGACACCTAGGCTTTGCTGCCTTCCCGCCCAAGCTGGAGCTGTCATGAGCAGGACTACTGCATCACAGCGTACCTGAGGCAGTGCTCGGATGGACACGACGCCAGTCTGGCCTTGTGCTGTCTGGACCTTACAGGTGCTGAGATTGTCCGAGGGAAGCTGCAGGCAGGCGCAGACCACCAGTTTCCTCTGAAAGCCTCGCAGACCCACAGCTGCATTGGCCAGGACCAGTCCCAGGGGCCAGAGACGGATTATTGCCCCCTGGAGCCTGGTCTGTGCTGAGGGCAGGAGGGAGGAGTTCAGAGAACTGGGAAATTGAGACATGGACTTTTCTTCAATACCGTCCAGTTCTTTAGAGGCAAGGCAGGCCATTCTGACCTTAAAAAGAGAAACATTCCTTTACTACTTTACAATTGTCCCCTTAATGGAAACTGTAAAACAAAATTATTTTTTAATGAACCCTGACACAGTGAATTAAAGGCACCTAGCTGTGAGTTGCTGGCTGCCTTGAAGCAGCATGGCCCCAGGCAGCAGAATGTAAGGCAAGAATGAGATACTTTAAAGCAAAATAGCAGCTTTTCTGAGATAGGATGGATACAGCACAGGCAAAGTGACTGCCTTGGCTTAGTGTGTCCCCAGAGTTGGTTTTACCTCTATTCTGTTCAAAGCACCTGCAGGGAAGTCCTCACGCCTGCCATGTGCCACCCAGACATTGTGCCACCATGCCTGCTCTGGTCTGCTTGGTGCCAAATCTCCACGAACTGCCCGCCCAACTGCTTGAGCTATACTCACTCTCCACTTGTGCCAGGCACGCTTGATGACCGAGGCAGCTGTGTGCAGCCTCTGGATATGTTTCCGTGTTAACCAGGAACGAATGGCTACGAGTTGTGGCCAGAAACAGCAAAGAGATAAAGTGGTCATTAGAGCTGTTAGCATCCTGGCTGTCAACACAAGTTGCTGTGAAATACATGTTATGTTACTACATAAAGCAGGGTCCTAAAGTCAACACACAAGGCAGAATGGGCTTTAAGAAAACACTTGCCCACACACTCAGAGATCCCTACACATTGAAGGGGTGCCTGGGCCTGTGGAACCCAAAAGGGTCATCTCCCACTGCAGGCTCAGTTCTGGGCAATTCTGGGAATGGGAGGGTTCTAAATTGTACTTTCAAAAATGGCCTTAGCTGGGTATGGTGGCTCATGCCTGTAATTCCAGCATTGGGAGACTGAGGCAGAAGGCTAGCCATGAGTTCAAGGCCAACCTAGGCTACATAGTGAGTTCGAGGCCAGCCTGAACTACATAGCAAGACCCTGTTTCAAAAAAACCAAACCAAAACAAAAATGATTGTTCTTGGGCTAGGGCTGTAGCGCAGGGGTAAAAGAGATTGCCTGCTATGCACAAATCACTGGGTTCCACATGTACCACAAAAGAAAAAAATTAAAGGCAAAGTGAGGTCACATTTGTAGCCTCTCCTGCCTGCAGCAGACCTGTCTTTGTGGAGTGATTGGTTTCCACAGAACTGACAGGCTGTGCAAAATTCCAAGGAATTCTAATCCCAAGCACTGTGGGTCGTGCCATCTACCTGAGGCTGGGCACATTTTCAGCAGGTGGCCATTCAACAAGGTGAGCTTCAAAAGAAACCATCAACGTCAAGCTGTGTACTGCACCCAATCCAGGACAGGCACCCCACTCCACCTACCTGCCTGAATGAGGGTGGCCGCCCGCCTCTGCCTCTCCTGCTTTCGGTGCTGGTGTCGCTTCCAGCCATACTGGATGCAACGGGCACACTGCTCCAGCACCCGGGCACGCTTGCCTTCCAGAAGCTCTAGCTGGGAGAAGGGGCACCCACAGAGGTCTTCAGCTGCTGCCCTTTGGAGAGCCTACAGCTGGCCTCTCTAATCTCATCCCCAAACCCACTTACCACGGACTCAGTCATGAACACCTTGGTCTTGCCGCAGTGCAGTGGGTCAGCAGGTGTGGCTGCCACCTGAGTTAGAGCTGGCAGAGCATGGAGAAGGTCCCGCAGGACAGTTTGCAGCGTAGCCTCCTCAGTGCGTGCAAGCTGTCCTAGGGAATGGGCAGCAGAGGCCCCATCAGTGCTTGGTCATCGCATACATGTGTGGCCTCAAATGGGCTTTGGTCTCCTTGGCACTCTCCAAGCCTTTTTCCTACTGTTCTGGCCTCTAGTCATTTCTTCTTCCTCCTTTTTTTGGGAGAGGCCAGAAGCAACTCCTCTGGCTGTAGTGAATGAAGCATCTTGGGAGTCCCCACCCTGGAGCGCCCTGCAGTCCTCATTGCTGTAGGTCTCAGGACAGGCAGACAAAGGCAATGATGGCTGGAGGAGCAATTCCTTCCAACCTGGAATCCCAGCCTACCTGGCCAGTACCTACCCCTCACTTTGACGCTTATGAAAAAAGAGAAAAGAAGCCCAGTACCATGAAGGCCCAGTGAGTCCCACGCCCACCCTCCTGGGTGTGCAGGGCTGGCTCCTGTGCAGAGAGTTTACCTGAGGGCTCTGACCTGCAGCTGCACAGTGCCTCTCGAGACAGAGGCAGCCGAAGCAGACGCTGGAAATCAGACAGCTACAAAATCGACCAGGGCCCAGAGGGGCTTGGCAAGAGAGAACAGGAAAGCAAACCATGAAGAGAGAAAGAAGAAAGTAGAAGACAAGTGACACACTGTCCAAAACGGGAGAAAAACAAAGCAGAATCCTCTCCAGAGGTTCAGGTGGGCCCTGGGCAGCTCTAGGTGGGTGGGAGAGCAGCTGTGGGAGGCTGGGGCCTTGCAGACTGCCCTTGGCCTCTTCCCTCCATCTGTCCCTGGGTCTGAGGGCTCCCCCACTCAGTTATGCCTCTGTGCATGCCAGCCACCTCTGAGCCATTCCCTGAGGCTAACACTGGGTCTCTTGCATACAATTATTGGGATGAGACCTGGAGTTCAGGTTCTGCGAGGCAAGGCAGGTTTCTCTCTCCTATATCCAGCTGGCTGATTTCTTTCACACATTTCCAGGCTCCGCCCACCTCCCTGGCTTCTCTCCCCTTGTATAGCTTTGTAGCCTCTCCCAAAACCCTCAGAGAAGGCCCCCAAGGTGTAGTCTCCAGAAAGCATGAGGCTGATGGAGTCACTGGTTTCCTTCCCTGCAGTGCCACCTCATCTGCTCAGGTTCCTTGACCATGCCCTATCCGCTACCACTATCCTGAAGAGCCACTACCTGTCTTGGAGCTGCTGACATCCACACTGCTGCTGGGAGTCCAGTCCTTTGGCCACATTACTCATCTCTTGGAACCCTTTCACCTAGCTAATGCAATCTATCCACACGCACAACCTCCCCAGCATGACCCACAGTAAGTCTGTTCTCTCATGAAGCCAAGAACCATAAGGGCAGAGTTATGCTGTATGCCCAGCCCCTTAGGGCTCTGAACCCCCAACCCTAAGCAGGCATAAAGGAAGCAGCAGGAACCTGTGGTTGAACAAATGACTAGCAAATGGGCCCACTCACCAGAGTACCCTCTGGTAGCATGTGGGCTACGGAGTCCAGAAGGCATGTGAGGACCGAGCCTTCTCAGTAAGGCGTATCGCTCCAGGAAGTTCTGGTGAGAGACCCTGGAAGCCAAAGCAGATGGAAGAGAATGACCTCATCTAGGAGTCAGGTACACTGTCTAGGGCTCAAAACCAGTTGTTCAATTTAATCTTCGGAGAACCCAGTGAAGTGCTGCCCTGGCTGGCTTTGGTGAATAGATGGGATGAGCTCCAGAATGATTACCAGGGCACTCGGGACAAGCCATGGAGGCCACTTTACTTTATATCATGTCTGCTGAACAGTGTCTTACTTAATGGGATCTGCAGCTTCTCCCTGCAGATATGCTGACCTTTGACTCCACACCTTCCTCTGCTTCCTCCTGACTTCTCAGCTCCCCTTCACAGCAGTGCTACTCTGAACAGCTGATGGCACCTGGCACCTACACTTCCTAGTTGCTCCTCAGCCCTCTGAGTTTGGCTTCTGTCCCACCACTGTGCTGTCATGGTTCCTGTCACAGCCAACAGCCAGCAGCTGCCAGCAATCTACCGCTGCCCCTCTCCTTGTAGATTATTCTCTCAACCTCCTGGACACGCACCACACCCCTGGGGCCATCTCCTCCACTCAAAGCGTCTTGCAGTTGTCAGTGCTTGTCATCCACCCTCGGGCCCTCCTCTTCCCCAGGTGACTTCCTTTTTGCTCATCATGCTAGCACCCAATGAGTGGAGGACCCTCATGTGCCCTCCAGTTCTTAAAGCGCTGCTGAGCCCTGCCTCACAGCTTCTCAAAACTGACAAGGCGGTAAGAGAGCTCCCGACTGCCACCTCTCTCGCGCTTCCACCCTCCAACCTAGGCCTTACCTAGACCAACCGTTTTGGTAACCTGTTGTCCCTTTCATCCCCTGCATTAGGCAGGAAGCTGCTCTGGGATTTGACTGCCCCCTGCCAAATGTCCACTTTCTACTCAGCAATGAATCCAAGTCCCTCTCTTCCCACAGCAAACCACACTATCTCCCCACTGCTCACCTGGATACCTGCAACAGCCTTCTTGCTGTTTGCTTCGCTTCTGTCCTGACCTGTGGCCAACCTCCCACACAGCACAGGGATCTTCTGAGAATATGAGATCCCACCACTCCCTCCTTATAATACCCAGCAGCTTCCACTGTACTCAGGGCAAACTGTCAAGTCCTCCCATACCCTATGAGGCCCTGCAGTCTGGCTCCTGCCTACCTCCCTTCCCGCTGCAGGTGTTGTGTGGTCCAGGCCCATTAGATCCAAACCTGGCAGCTCTGTGTGGTGGTTCCCTCCAATATTCACAGGCTGGCCCCTTCCTGGCCCATAACCTGAGCTGCCTAGAGGTGCCTTCCCTGACCAGCCAAGGATTCCTGGCCCTGGTAATCTATCCCACAGCATTTTTCTTTCTTTCTTGGCTCCAGTTAATACTTTTTTTCCTTTCTCCTGTGTTTGTGAAAAGTGACCCCACAGCCTTTTGCATTGAGCTACACTGACAACCTTTTTTATTTTAAGACAGAATCTCACTAAATCAAACTTGGAATCCTGCCTAAGCCTCCTAGACTGTTGGGATCACAAGTGTGCATTTATTTTTCGTGATCCACTGGAATGTGTGTCCTAAGAGCCCAGAAACTCACTTTCATTTATTTACTAATAAGTTACCAGAAACTGCTGGGGACCTGGCACACAGAGTGGAGAACAGGTGCCACCACCCTCTCCTCCCCACAGACCTGCCTCTTTCTCTGTAGCACCATCCCACGACCAGTCTGGGCTACGCAGGCTCTCATTAGTCTGAGTCTTGAGCTCTACCTCCAGTGGCCCTGCAGCAGTGTGGTCACTTACCGGATGGGGAAGCCAGCAGCACTGATGTGGATGGTTTCCACCAGGCCACAGGCCTCCAGCTGGCTCACAACCTATAAGGGTGGGAGACAGAGCAGCACGTGTAGGCCAGAAATGCCTTTCACCCTTCTCAGGCCTGGCCTGCGAGCAGCTGCAAGTTCTCCCATCTTGGCTGACAGGGAATCTCCTTGGGAGAGCGAGAAATCAAGTGACCTTGAATAAAACCTCCCTCCTAGAAAGTGGGTCCTAGTGATCCCAAGACCCCCTGCCTGTTGTCTTACTTCTGATACAGCTGAGTGTTATACTCACAGCCCACAGTACAGCCCAACTGAATTTCTAGTTTTGATTGTTTACTTTTCACAGGCAGTAGAGTGTTTTACAGCTGAGGGGCAGAGATCATCTTGTGAAGATTCTGATCTGAGCCAAGGTCTTTACATGTGGTCCTGGCTACAGGCCTCTGGGCCACATCTACCAGGTGGCTGTGGGATGCTTCAGCACTGATTAGTAACCACACATCCATGTCCCTCAGAGTTCAGTGCCCTGCGCAAAGGGCCGCTGCTGGCCAGAGTGCTTTTGTACAAAGAATAAAAAGCAATGCCTCTAGTCAGAATGACCACACTGTGTATGGACTGAGGTGACATCCGCTGTCCACTAATCATAAAAGACACCCATTCTTCTGGGCAACTTTGGGTCTTCATCAGGGCACATGGCTTTGGTCCTTTTTTTTTGAGACATGACCTCGCTATGTAGCCCAGACTAGCCTTGAACTTACACCAATTCTCCTGCCTCAGCCTCCTGCATGCTGAGATTACAGATGTGTGCCACCACATCTGACCACATGGCTTTTTAAGTAGAAAGCAGGATGCACTGGAACCTGCCTTTTACCTCTTTAGCTAGGCCACTGTGTGGTGCACAGGACAGACAACCACACCCAACTACCCTGCCAGAGCAGGCAAGACCCCCTGTGGACCCTCCATTTGAGCAGATGCCTTGCCCTTCCTCCTCCCAGGGCCTTAGTCAGATGGGGCTCAGTGGTGATTACCTCCTCCTGGAAAAAGGTCTGTGGCTGGCCTTGGCTGTTAGGCTTGATGCAGCGAATGTAGTGGGGTGTGGTGCTGTGCAGGACCAGCAGGAGCTGTTCCAAAGAGGCCTGTGGGTGGGAGAAACCTGGGCTTAGGTAGGGGCTGGGCTGCTTGGGGCCATGAGCTGAGCCCTGGTTAGTGACTGCATCACCTCCAGCAGCCTACAGCCCTGAGACCACGACCTTCGCCTGCCCTGGGGACTTCTGGGAGCTCTCGCTGAGCATGTACCCTCACCCCCACCCCACCCCCGCCGCTCGCTGCCTAAATGGCCTCCCTGTGTATCACCTCTGCCTCCTCCCCAGAGCAGTCTTCCTAGAACAGTCTTGTAACTGCTGCCACCTAGGCAGGGACAGCCAACAGCTGCCATTACCAAGCCTGCTCTGTGTGCTCGAAGCAGTACCAGTCTGATGGGCCACATACTGCACAGGCGTGTGAGAGGCATGAGGCTGGGGCAGGAAAGTGCCACTCAACTGGAGTTTCCTAGGGTGCCTCACAGTAATGACAAGCCATCAAGGTTTGATGGCTGAGAAGAAACATACCAAGCTAAGCGTTATGGGAGCAGGGAGTGAGGGGACTGGAAGGACAGTGGACCAGAGATCCCAGGAAGGCTGAGACAGCAGAAAGGGACACTCCCGACTCAAGTGATAGGTCTGCTCCAGCCGAAGGTTTTTGAGAAGGGCCTGGTCACAAAGGTGCATGGAACTGCTGCTTTCCTGTGACTATCTTTTAGCGAAGGGAAGAGTCCCCAGGATTCCTGCCATGTCATTATAGCTACTGGTCTTTTTGTTTTCTTCTCTGTCTTCTATGCTGAAGTACACATGCCATAAAGATAAGCACCACATCTACTGGAGTCCAACCTTGTGAGATAAATGTTTGAGAGACCGTGATCTTCATCTGCCTTGGAGACAACTACTGGACTGAACTGAACACCTTACATCAGCACCACACACCCACCTTGAACTTGGACACCACAGTCAACACAGGGGCCCTGCTCTGGCCAGAGGGCTCCTCCTGGGTCTTCTCTTTGGGTTGAGTAGGAAACAGCACTGTGAGAAGGGGATCATGGGATAGCTGTAGAAGCTCAGTCAGTTCAGGAGGCACAGGGTCCTATTGGGAAAGGGCAAGCAAGTGAGGGCAGGTGGACTGCTCCCTGGGGCTATCCATGGCCTGGCACAACCTTGCCAGCCAAGCTCTAAAACACATAGCTCCCAGGGAGGGCGGAAACTGAGTCTAAGAGAGGAGCAGATCCGCTATCCAATCAGAGAGCCAGACCTAGCCTAGCATGGGTCATGCCCAAGTGGGTTAAAGTTGATGAGCAGAGACCTCAGGGGATGGACCCAAGAGGATGGTCTGGGTATTCTGGGAGGACATTTAGGAAAAAGAGGACCTTTGCTGAGAAACTACTACATATACACTGCAACGGCCATGGCCAGGCCTTACCTTATTTTTCTCCACCAGACCTGCTGTGAGGTACCGCACAGGCCCTGCATAATGTACCACGATGAAACTGGGCTCCTGGCTAAGCCTGTTGTGGCCCAGGCAGGGGCTGTCGGCCAGAGCACTCTCAATGCGCACCTGGAGCTGGGCTGCGCTACTTGGCCGGTTAAGACGGCATTCCTGTGGGATGGGAGTGGGCAGTCAGCTTCAAAAAACCAAGGTCTCATCTTCTGGCCCTGTAGCATTGTAAATAACCTCCAAGAGGGATTAGCGAACCCATCTGGCTGACAGGGAGAGAGGGGCAGGGAAAGCACAAGGGAGTCATCAGGGCCCAAGAAAAGCCTAATGTCCAATTCTGGAGCTCAGTTCACTAGCGGACTCTCCCCACCTCATTGAGAAGGGAGCAGATGCTGATGGGGCTCCCCTCGATGAGATCCAAACAGGTTTGGTTGTCCTGGTAATTAACAAATGACCACTCCAGGCCCTCCAGTGCATATTCCTCCTAGAGGAAAGGACAAGGAAGACAAGGGAGAAAGAAGCTATGGTCTGAGGCCTGCGTGGGCCATCCATAGCTGGCCTCAGTAACACAGCATGTTCCAGAACAGTGTCAACAAAGGAATGGGACTATGTGAAAACATCACACTGAGCTGGGGATGTAGCTCAGGGACAGAATGCTTGCCTTGTGTGTGTGAGACCCTGGCTTCAATCCCCAGCACCACACACACATACATTTGCGTCACACGCAGTTAATACTTGCCAAAAATAAAATCAGGAAGAACAAAGGCTCCTGGTCAGAGCTGAGCTGGGGCTGGGGTAAGAATCGAAAGAGGATCCAGGAGGACTGCCCCCCCTGCCTCACCTGCTGAGCCCTCAGATAGTGAGCCACGAAGTGCTGCTGCAGCTTCTCATTGGCATAGTTGATGCACAACTGTTCCAGACTGTTGTCAGGAAATGACTCAAATCCATACACATCCAGAAGGCCTGGAGGATGACAGGGAATCTGTGGGGCTACCAGGGGGAGCAGGTTGGGGACCGGGGGCCTTTAAGAGCCCAGGGATGAGGCTGAGTGAGGAGGACACCTAGTGGTGGGTCCAACCAGAAAAAGAGATCTTGACCAGACACTGGGCCAGTAGCAAACATTGCAAAGAAGGGAAAGGAGTCACTCAGGGGACCCAGGGTTCCTGGCCCCCATCCAGACAGCTACAGTTCTTTTCTGGAAGGATCCTGGCAGGGTGAACCCCTGCTACCTATGAAAGCAGTCCACGAGTCAGGGTCTGCACAGATGCTGCTGTTGATCACCGACACCAGCCAGTCAAAGAGTCTGAGGGAGAAAGAGTCTGGTAAGAGGGGTCAGGCTGAACCTGGGGTGACAAAATTCCCTCCTCAGCCAGGATGCCAAATGCTTGAGAGCCCCATACTGTCGACCTCACAGGCCATAGGCTAAACTGTCTCCCATTCCTTCTATCCTGCCTGGACCTACACCTGATCCAAGTTTCCCAGGCATACACAGACCTGGCCTATCTTCCCAGCAAGGCTGACCTCAGGCCCAGCTAAGCTCCTGGACCAAGCAGGGCACAGGTCTGCACTGTCACATGGCCCAGTAGTAGCTGGTATGATCAGAAGGAACTGCTAGATGGGTCAGGTAGAGTTCATGAAGAACTGAGGTTCACTGAGCTCTCCTTCGAAAGTCTACCAGTGGGGCCTAGAGATAAGCAAGGCTCAGCCTGAGTTGCCTGAGGCCCACAGTAGCATCCTCTACTCCAGAAGCACTTCCACCCCAGGGAAGATGGGCTCACTAGCCAAAATGGTGAGACATACAACCATGTTCAGGGATTTTTTTGATTTTTTTTTTTTTATGTAATTGCGAAATAATTCAGTAAACAGCTTCTTTTTGTTTTTCTCCCCCCCATACTGGGAATTGAGCCAGAGCTTCGTTATTGAGCTACATCCCCCTAGTTCTTAAATGCTTTTGGGACAGGATCTCACTAAATTGTCCAGGCTGGGTGGAATTTGCCAACCTCCTGCCTCAGCATCCCAGAGTGCTGGGATTATAGGTGTGTACAATCATACCTGAGTAACAGCTTGTCTTTCTGCTATAGGGGATTCAAATACCCATTTGAGGCACTAAAAATGAGTGACTAGCGTTATAGTGACTGATAGTTTCCATGCTTAAAATGCTGTACCATCAGAAGCTTGCTCTGACCACCACACTTTATAGCTACTCATTTGCAAGAACCACTGATCTAAAACCGATGTGAGGCAATGGTCTCCAAGTTTCTTGCTGAAATGGGTTGTGTGCTCAGCTGCTCCTGACCATGTTTTGTTCAGCAGTGTTTCTCAGGATCTTGGCTCATGAAAGCAGGGAGGACCCTCTCCTGAGAAGCTGCCTAGGTCCCACATGTGTACACACACATACACACATTTGCCTGATAATCTTAGAGCGGTGGTGTGAACCTATGGCACACATGCTGCAGTTGTATCACTCACAGTTCTAAAAGGTTTGCCATCACTGTCTTAGAGTACTCTGGGCCCTGATTGTCCTCAGAACCTGAGAGGACACCCTTGCCCACATGGCCAGAGTGGTCATGTAACCCACTAGGAAAGGTCAGGACCCCACTTTCTCCACTGTCACCCATGACTTGAGCCGAGTTTCTGGCTCTGCACCATTTATAAAACTCCCCAGTGAGTAGCTGAGGTCTTAAGTGCCAGGGCATGGAGACACAGAGGAATCTATTCACCCAATGGCCTGAACGTGGCCCTGTAACAGCACCAGATCACCTTTGTGGCTTGGTTTGCCAGCGGAGAGCTGAACAGGTTTTCCTTGTCTATTCACAAGGTCAAAGCAGACTCCTGTACTTCAATAATGAGCTGAATCTAGGCCAGGAATGTGGCAACTGCTATACTCTGTTCTCAGGAACAGATGCCAAGGGCGTAGTTCAGGAAAAAAGAATGTGGCAGCCATGCCCTGCTGCCCCTGGGGATCCAAGGAACCAGTCTGCTTTAGCTGGCATCCCTCATTCGGGGCCTGCTTGTATCATTCACAGGGGAGTCTGGTCCAAACCTAGGCAGAGTGAGAACCTGGGGGCAGGCAGGGGCAGGGCCAGTTTAACTGCTTACCGCGCATAGACCACTTTGGCCAGACAGTCCCTGCGGGTGTCACACTCTCCTCGGGAGCAGGGCTTCCGGAAAACCTGCTGCTGCCTGCCTGCCCTGATGGTTCGAATCTGCACAGTCTCCAGCAGCGTATCCTCATGGAGTCCCAGCAGGGAAGCTGATGTCCTGACAAAGCCTGGGAGAGGTGAATCCTCCTTAGGCAAATCACCTCCACCTCCATCTAAACATCCTCACAGCAGTACCCAACTTGCCCAACTGGACAAGGTTCCAAAGGGCAAAAAGAGACTCGCCAAAGGCCTCTGTAAGTGGCAGAGATGGGACCTGAACTCATGTCTTCTGTGTCCCAACCCACACTGCTACAAATCACTTTATAAACCCTCTGACTCGCATTTTCTCATCTGCAGGAGAGGAGGGGAGGAGTAAATTATACAGGGCAGGCCCTTGTATCAGACTTTAATCAAAAGCAGCAGATGGAAAATCTCACCCTCCAAACTCCCATCTAATCCCACCAATGTTGCCTACTTTCCCACCAGGTCCTCCCTGCTCCCTGCCCCTCGCCTCTCACACTTGGCACTGTCCATCAGTTGGCAGGGGTGGGCTTCATCCTCTGAGTCAGCAAAGCGGACATTGCCAAGGTGCAGCAGCCCAGCAAGGACCTGAGGGGGCAGAGAGGATGGTTAGAAGCAGGAGAGTACATGTTATTCCTTCTGCTGAGTATATTCACGAAAAAAATCAGAAAAATCAGCCCCCGATTACTGCCCACCTCAGCCAGACAAGTTGCCCTTATTTTAATGTGTGCTACAACAATGCCCATGATAGAGATGGGACTGGGGGAGGTTTCATCCACAGTTCTAATGACATGTGTTTTCTGAGACGGGTAGGCCTAGAACCCAGGCCATCTGATTACATTTAGATGCTTCCCAAGGTAGCCAGTGAGGCCCCATGTCCATCCACCATCTGTCCCTCTACCCCCTCTCTCAGGAAGATATTGTGGGGACACCAGTCCTGTTAGGTATAGGCCAGGGTTACTCCTATGTGCACTAGCTGGGCACAGTGGTGCATGCCTGTAATTTCAGCACTTAGGAGGCGAAGGCAGGAGGACTGCTGCAAGTTCAAGGCCAGCCTGAGTTACACAGAGTTCAAAGGCAGCCTGAACTACAGATCTTATCTCAATAAAAACCTTCTGTGTCCAGTGAGGGCTCTAACTCCCTGTGGCTCTTTCTCAGCTTGGTCACTAAGGACAGTTTAGCCTGGGGAGAAAAAAACGTGACCTTGGTCTCTGTACCACAGGTATTACCATTTGGCCTCTGCATGCAACAATCTGCATGGACAACCCCAGGGGCTACAGAAGGGAGAATTCCTCCTGTCCCAGGACCTGATACTAGGAGAGCAGGACCCATCTGGCCATTCTTGTCTGGGCCCAGGCAGGGCACTTACATATCTGACTGGCCTTCTGGCCACTATTTACCCAGGACAGGACTGCTGTCTTCAATGGACAGTGTGGCTGTGGCAGCATTTTTACCTGATTGCCTAGTGTTGTCCACTCACCCTGGGCTTGTCCCCATGTGCTGTCCTGTTGGCCTGTGTCCACACTGGGCACAACCACTTTCCTGCCTAAATAGCTTCCAGCTAGAGGGAGTCAATTCCCACTGCACAGCCTATCTCCTTGTAGTGGCCTCCCTGCTCCTCCTGCCTGCCTAGTCCGTCTACTCCCTCCTGTTGCTCTGAAAGCAGGGACTGATGTGGGAGGAGGCAGTCAACCCTATCGGCAAAGGCAGCAGGGAAAGGGAGGCCATTAGTGGGGATGAGATGGGCCCAGCTCACCTGGGTCAGTGCCACAACTGAGACAGAGAAGCAAGGATGGCTGGTGGAGGGAGGGGACAAAGGGAGGGAACTTGGAATTACTATGTCTGAATAATGTACTCTGTCACTCAGTGATATTAACCTTGGACCGATTACTTTACCTCTGGGTTTTTTGTTTTTGTTGGTCTTTTTTGAGATAGGATCTTGCTATGCAGTTCAAACTGACCATCAGTTCACTTTGTAGTCCAGGCTGGTTTCAAACTTGCTATGATCCTCCTAAGTCCTGGGATAACACCATGCCTGACTTTACCTCTGTTATTTACTCAAGCATAAAACAGCAATCACCTCCACTCACAAGGAACTACTGAAAACACTAAGTGAGCTAAAAAGTGTGAAGATTATCTTTAAATTTTACAGTTTTAGGCAAATATGGTAGGATTATTTCTGTTCTCACTGTTGCAGTAATAACTGACCAAGTCCCTGCTCTCTGCCTCCTGGGTCACTGCACCTTGCTCTCTGTAGCACCATCCTCTATGACCCCATCTAGCCCAGCACTCCATTTCAGCTCACAGAGGCATAGGACAGAACAGGGGAGGACCCAATGAAAGTCAAATCTAAGTGGTGTGGCTTTTCTTCTGACCTTAAAGATGTTGTTCTGGGTGGGGATATCAATGCCCAAATGCATCATGGCCTCTCGGGTCACCTCGAAGCAATCCTCTAAAAAGAATCCAGTGGTTAGCAGCGGTGGTAGAGGGTAAGGGAGGCAGGCTCTGGGCAGAGTGGGTGCACGCTGCTGGGCCAGTCCAAGGTGCCAGGAGGGGTCCCTCTACCTTCCAAAGTCCTCTCAGCATTCGGCAGCCAAGAGAAGGTGGCTCCCTTGGGAAGGTGCCACTGGAACCTCTCATCCTCGCTGGCTCCTTTGTAGATCTGGGGGGAGGTAGGCAGGTGGCTGAGTGGCAAGTGCAAGGGAAACCCCAGCCTCCATGTGCCAGGGCTGGCGTCAGGGAGAAATGGCAGCACATCACGACACTGAGAGGTCCCTACAGAGAGCCTGGGGTGGGCATGGAGGCATCTGGGTCTCGCCTAGCACAGACCTGGTAGAAGATGTGGAAGTTCCTCTCACTGGAGGCCTGGTAGGCCACGCGGGTTTTCTCTAGGAGATAGGTTTGAACTGCAGCTCCTGTCATCTGTTGGGCCCTGGTGCACACAGGCAGGAGCCCATGAGCTATTGTTCATTCAGTAGCCATTTCATCAGCACTGATTTTGTGCTGGACTGCTGCCCAGCAACTCCTTGCCAAGCTTACTGGGACGTCCCCGCATCTAGTTCAGGTCTTTGCATATATCACTTGTATCTCTTTTCATGGCAGGAGCAAAAGTCCTGCTTTAAGATCAGGGTTATGGTCCAAAGAAGTGGCAATTTAACGAGAAGTTGCTGAACAAGGGTAGAAGCCAGGAGGCCAAAGGTTCAAAGAAAACCCTCTGAGTTCACCAATGCTGGAGAATCCCATACGCATGCATGCCAGGTGCAGAACTGCACCCATAAGAGTGGGCTTGGCTGCCAAGTGCCCCAGCCACTTTTTTTTTTTTCAGGTACCGGGGATCAAACTCACCACCGCCTACTTGCAAGGCAGGTGCTTAGGCCACTAAGCTAAAGCCCCAGCCCCAACCCCAGATACTTTTAAACACTGCCCCTGCCCCGTCCTCCCACAAGCCAGGGGTGCAGCAGCTATTACCTGTTCAGCTGCAGCTGGATGAACTTCCCAAAGCGACTGCTGTTGTTATTCCTCAGCGTACACGCATTCCCTACAGATCACACCTATGTTTACACCACTCCCCAGACTCAGTCTTCACTGGCCAAAACAGCTGCAGGTCTGCTGGGGCCATGTGCCTATTCTCTCAAGTCACCTAAAAATCCCTTCATTGGGTTCCACGCATGAGGGACAGAACTAGGGAAAGGGCATTCGGCCTCTGCAAGTGGGACTCAGGAAAGTTACAACTTCCTGGCAAGGAACTGGAATAAGCAAGCCTCAGCTGTCTGGGGCTTTCTTCTTTGAAGGGAGAGGTCAAAGACAACTAGTTATCTTTACTGGCTTTAGACAGAAAACTTCAACATTCGGGCTTTAGTCCCAACATGGACACTAAAAGCTGTACATGCTCAGTAAATCTTTTTTGAACCATTTGGAAACTCGATGGAAAGGGATGCTGAACTCACCAAAAGCTTCCATGACAGGGTTGGAGTTTAGGATGCGCTGTTCAATCCTCTCTGCGATCTTGGGGCTCTCCCAGGAAGTCGGTGCAGCGGCCACCACAGCGTAGAACTTCATCAGGCAGCGGGACGTCCATGTCTGTGGCAAAAAAAAAAAAAAAACAAAAAAAAAACCTGGTGGGATTGGTGTCCACTTTCCCTTCACTCCCAAGCCAGCCCGAGGCAGTGGTGCCCCACAGCCCTCTTTTCCACCATGCTCCTTTTGGACCAGATGGACGAATGTGGAATTCAACTGTGGCCTTGGGCAAGGCACTTCCCCTTGTCTATGAAGTGGGGTGACATCTCTGCATTTCCCAGCTCCAGAAGACACACTGAGAGAGACAAGGGCGGCTTGAGGGGAGGCATAAGCTCCCGGCCTCCCAGCCGATACTCACCACTCCATGGCAAGCCCTGAGCTGGGAGGGCTTTCTCTGCATGTCCTTATAGACCCTACAGATGCAGGTACAACTATACATCTATTTTCAAATGATGGAACTGAAGAACAGAAAAAAGTTTAATTGAAAAATCTTTTTGAGGGGGCTGGGGATTTAGCTCAGCGGCATAAGCACCTGCCTTGCAAGCAAGCAGTCGTGAGTTCGATCCCTGGTACCGATAAAAAAGAAAAAGACAAAAAAAAAAAGAAAAACCTTTTTGAGATAAGGCCTCACTATATAGTTCAAGTTTTCCTTGAATTTCAAGGACGACTCCTATTTCAGCCTCCCAAGTGCTGGGTTAATTTAAGATCTCAAAATCTAACCAGGCATCATGGCATATGCATGTAAACTGGGAGGATGAGGCAGGAGGACTGGAAGTTTGAGCCTAGTCTAGGTAATTTTGGAAGACCCTGTTTCAAAATAAAATGAAGGAAGGAAGGGAGGCAAAAGAAAGAAAGGAAGAGAGGAAGAAAGGAAGGAAGGTACAAAGGCAAGCAGCCAGCCAGGCAAGGTAGGGCTGGGGCCCAGTGTGAAGGTCCTAGATTCAATCCCTAGTATACTAGAAAGGGAGGAAAAAAAAAAAAAATCACAAAATGTAGTAAATGACAGGGCTTTGATTCAAACTAGGCAGCCTAGTCACATAAAATTCTTAATCTCTTTGGTTTTAATTAGCTGAAGTGAGAGACATTGTCCCTTTAACTTCCAACTGTGCAAGGAAATAAAAATTACTTTTTATATACAGACCTTGTATCTTATCACCTTTAATAGTTTGGTTGTTTTGTTTTGTAAATTGTTTTGGTCTCTGAGGTTAGAGATGTTCTCTTTCCCACTTTCTGAAAGACAAATTTAGTAACATTTCTTTCTTAAATGTTTGACAGAATTCACAGCCAAAACTGCCTGGGCTTGGAGCTGCTGCTTTTTTTTTTTTTTTTTTTTTGTCTTTTTGAGACAAGGTCTCCACTATACAGACCACTGGGTTGCCACCATGTCCTGATATGGAGAAAAAAATCTCTTCTCATAAGAACAGAGGGCCCAGGGCCGGGGATTAGCTCAGCAGCAGCAGCGTAAGCACATACCTGGTGAGCCCAAGGTCATGAGTTTGGTTCCTGGTACCACTAAAAAATCCAAAACCAAACCAAAACAAAAACCACAGGCCTGTTAGATTAGGGCTCTGCTTTTAGGACATTTAGATGCCTCCTAAAGACCCTGTCCTCAGGTATGTCACATGGGAAGTTCGGGCTTTCACATGTGAGTCTGGCAGAAGCTCAGTTTAGTCCAAAATGCACCTTCAGCTAGGGTAAAAAAATTAGCCTGGGTTTTATCCCCACTACCACAAAAGGGGTAGGGGTGGGAAAACCCAGACACACAAATAACTTTACCTAAATTTCAGACCAGAAGGTAGAGTTGTGGGAGACCATCGAGCTGTACTCTCCTAAGAAATGAAGCCCCTTACCTCTGTCTTTCTTTGACCTTTTATTTTAACCCCATTCACTGAGATATGCAGAGGTGGCTATATACTGAACTCTGAGTCTCTTAGTTGGCTAGAAAAATGTGATCAAGTCCAGCCAAGACACCAACTTGTCTTCATTATAGCATATGGGTAAGAACTGCCCCCCTCCTTGCTGATGGCTGGACTGGGACTCAAGCAGTGCCTTTGACATTCCAGGGCTAAAACATGAGATAACTCATCTGAGGCCATGGGACTCAGTAAGAATTATACCTTTCTGGCAGGGAAGTTGCCAGTCTGACATATATCAGACTATCTATTGCACTAATAGGAGGCCCTTGTGCCTGGTACAAAATTGCTATTTCTTCTTATAGGCAATGCCTGCAGTTTCTTCTCCCTAGCACTCTGTTGCAACCCCCTCCACATCTTTGATGATACCCATAAAAGCCTTGAGCTTTTGGACTCATGGCCCTTTGTTCTGCAGGTCATCCCAGAGCTCCTTAATCAGAGAATATTCTCTGTCTTTCTTTTGCATTCATGCATCATACTGCTGAGTGGGAGACCTGAATCCTCTGTCAGAGTTTTCGTATCATGTCATTTGAATTCTTGCATTTAAAAAATCCAATATAGCCAGGTGTTGTGGCACACTCCTGTAATCCCAGCACTTGAGAGGGTGAGGCAGAAAGATCATTGCAAGTCTGAGACCAGCGTGGGCTAAAAGTGAGCCCAAGGCCAGTCTGAACTCTACAGTGAGTCTCAAAAAGACAAAAAGAAAAAAAAAAAAATCCAATACGACATTTATTGCCTCTTAATTACAGCACTTAAACTATTCACATTTAATTATCACTATAGGTGGTTCTTAAAGCTACTATTTTGTCATATCTTTTCAATTTGTTCTATATAATCTGTTACTTCTTTACTGTCATTGGTTGAATTTAGTACTTTTGTGATTCCTTTTTATCTCTACAGTACAATGATAATATATTTGTGATACAATGAATTTTACTTTAAAGCAGCAAAAAATAAAGTTTCACATCTCCAATGTTCTATGTCTCTGTTTAGATACAAATATTCATCTGTTTCATGTTTCTTTGGCTTAAAGAACTTTATTCTATACTTCCTGTAGTGCAGGTCTGCTTCAAATGGACTTTTATTATTTTATTACCTCAATTTTTGTTCACTATTTTTATATGCTGGGGATTGAATCTAGGGCTTTGTGCATGCTAAGCACATATTCTACTACTGAGCCAACCCCCCAGACTCTCATTGATTAAAAAAAATTTATATATGTGTGTACCCCTGGAGTCGTGCATGCCAGGTAAGCACTCTACCAGTGAGCTACCTGCCCAACCCGAAAAATATTTTTGCTGGTAACAGGCTTCTAGGTTGGTAGTGACATCAGATGCATAAAGAAACTAACTATTCTCTGTGGGCTTGTGATTTTTGGTTTCTGTTGTCATTCTTATCTCTTCTCTGGCTTCCTTTAAGGTTTTCTTACGCTTGATTTTCAGCACTTTGCCTATAATGTGATTAAATATGCTTTATCCTACTTTGTACTTTCTAAGCTTTTTAGGTTTGTACTTGCTGTACTTTCTTAATATATAAAGTGTTATTTCTGACCTACACTCTTTTCTCTTCTCCTAGGACACCAAGTACAAATAAGGTAATTTGCTGTTGTATCAGAGCTCTTGGACATACTTTTTTCGATTTGAGCAGTTATTACTGACCTACTGTCAAGTCCACTAATGCATTCTTTGTATTTTTGTTTTATTCTTTGAGACAGTCTTGCTGTGCAGTTCAGGCTGGTATTGAACTCATTATGCAGCTCAGGCCGGCCTCAAACTTGGGGTGATCTTCCTGACTCAGCCTCCTCCATGCTGAGGTAACAGGGGTGTGCTACCATACCCACTTTCACTAATGCATTCTTCTGTGTGCCTAGTCTGCTGACGGGTCTGAATTGTTCATATCTTTATCATTTCCATTTAACTATAGTTTCTATATCTCTGTTGAACAGGAACAATCTGAAGACACTGACAAACACATAAAAAATGTTATGGGCATTCAGGATTTAAAAAGTTTATAAAGCTACCTAAATAAGGAACTCAGGTTGACAATCCTATAAAGACAGAGATTCTAATCAGTTGTTTAATGCCTGCTTTTTTTTCTTTCTCTCTTCTTCCTTTTTTACTTTTGGATGGTCCTGGGGATTGATCCTAGGGCCTTTCAGGAACCACATTTTTTATTTTGAGACAGGGTCAGGTGCTAGGTTGGGCTCCAATTAGTGATCTTCCTACCTCAGCATCCCAAGTAGCTGGGGTTACAAGCATGCACCACCACATCCAGTTAGTATGAACAGATGCTCAAGGATCATTAGCTATTTAATAAACTTCTTTTACATGGATGGAAACATCACAACAAATGGAAGAAAATAAATTTGAAACAGCCAACTCAAGAAGTAGAAAACAAATAAAAAGCATGATATCATGATGTATACCCAAAAATAAAGATATTAAACTTATGAAATAAAAACAGGATGATGGGGGATGAAATAATATTCAGAAAACATGGAAAAGCTCTTAAGATTTTAAGCAGAACTTTAAAATTAACAACTTAGTTACAACTAAATTTTTTTTTGTCTTTTTGAGACAGGGTCTCCATGCAGTTTGGGCAGGCCTTGAGCTTACTTTGTAGCCCAGGCTGGTCTCGAACTCACAACGATCCTCCTGCCTCAGCCTCCCGAGTGTTGGGATTACAGGCGTGAGCCACCATGCCCAGCTGCAACTAAATTGTTAAGGAGAGAGCATCTCCCCCAAAACAGGATAAAATACTGTGATAAAATAAAGAAGATAGACTTCCGGGAGAACATGGCGGACAAATAACAGCAGCCACGGAGGCTCTCTGAGATTACCAGTTTAGAATCCAGGAGCGGTGCTGTGTGAGGAGTCCTACGTGAGGGGAGATGTACCCTGCTGACTCAGGAACGAACTAAGCTGAGACAAACCAACTGGAAATGCAATCCTGATGCTATAACAGGAACAGATAAAATCTCAGTGCGGAAGCTGGATCCCGCACCATTGGAAGCCATGATTTGAATTTCCTGCTGCCGAAACTGCGTCCCAATCCGCCCGGCGGGGAGAGAGACGCGCGAAAACTCTGAGAAAACGGCGTTGAGAGCGGGGACTGGCAGGGAGCCCTGCATCGACCTGCGGTGAGTGAGAGAAATGGGGACCCTTTCATAGACTAGGAGGCTCCAACAGAGGACATTCTGGGAAGGAGCAGACTAGCCGGAACAGGGCCCTGCAGTGACTTTAGTCGCATATTCCCCTCTCAAGCAGGAGTGGTGGGGAGCGCTTGGCCTAGTGACACTGCGGACTAAGATCCTGTAGGCTAGCCCAAATCAGGTCCCTGAGCCTGGCGGTGCACCCTAGCAGTGAAGCATTCAGAGGTTGACCTGGAGGGGCGGGCCCAGCAGAGGCTACCCAGGTCTGTGTCTCCCTAGTACACTGCAGTGGGCGGGAACACCTAGCCCGTGGATTCATACAAACTGTAACAGACAAAGAGAAAAAAAAAAAAAAAAAAAAAAACTGGGCCTCCTACATACGCTTGTATGGAAGGAACAAAAAGTATGGGAAAAGGGAGCAACAAGAAAGGCTCCTCAGTCCGCAATCCTGAGAACACTGATGCAGGAAAGGTAAATGCAAAAGAGAATGAAGACAGAAAACATGCAATATCAAACACAGCACCTATAGACATAAAACGGTATCTCCGGAGCCTCATAGATGAGTTCAAAAATGAAGTATTTAATGAAATAAAGCAAGAAATAAGTGGAATAGTTAGAGAAATGCTTAGCACCACCCAAGAAAAAACAGATGGTGGAATGGAAGAACAGAAAAAAAGGGGAGAATTGTTTGGTGGAGAAAATAGAGAAAACATAGAATACATGAAGCAGGTTCAAAGAGATTACCAGGACACTAAAAACTCTATTGAAAGCTGGCATAACAGCTTGAAAGAAACTAAGGATAGATTATCAGAACTGGAGGACAGATTTGTAAGGCGGGAGCATGAAATGAAAAACTTCTTAAAAATAACAAGAAAACAAACAGCAATAATACAAAGACTAGAAGATGATAAGAGGATCTATAACTTAAGAATTAAGAACATAAAAGAAGAAGTAAGGACTCAAACAAATGAACTACAAAAGCTATTCACAGAAATAATCCAGGAGAATTTCCCTAATTTAGCAAAAGGTAAAGATACTCAGATGTGTAAGGCACACAGGACCCCCGCCACCTACAACCCAAACAGAGCTACACCCAGGCATACAATAATCAAAATTCCAGAAATCCAATATAAGAACAGAATATTAAAAGCTGTCAAAGACACGAAACAGATCACTTACAAGGGAACACCCATCAGAATTACAGCAGACTTCTTGGCACAAACTATCAAATCACAAAGAGCGTGGGGGGAAATAATTCAAGCTTTGAAAGATAATAATCTCCAGCCAAGATTGATATATCCTGCACAACTGTCCCTAGAAATTGATGGAAAAACAAGGTGCTTCCAGGATAAAGAGGAACTAGGGGAATTTGCAACCACCAATTCAACTATACAGAGAATACTGCAGGATATTCTAAAAATGAAAAATACCAAGATTCCAGAAACAGTGGCAGAGCGGCCACAATGAATGGAGCAGAAAGTGAAATGAAGAGGACAAACTGACAACTAATGACAGAAAAAAGAGCTCAACAGAAATGAGGCAGAGAAGGTTGGATGGTAGGAACAGCCATTTTGGAGAAAACAAGACATCATAATAGGTAGTGCTGATTTAATATCCTTTTGTTTTGAAGTCCCATCAAACTTTTGTTCTTCTGTCTCCATCGGTTTTAACGTGTTGTATCTTATTGGATTTTATTATATGTGATAATATAAACAAAAACTTTTATAGACAAGGAGATTATACAAAAACCATTGTTCATTTTCTGTTAGTTGATTCTAAATACCCTGTAATACTGTCATTCTCTTGAACGGTTTTACATTGTCTTGATACGTTTGATGCTACAGTATACAAAGTTATACCCAAAGATTTTAAGGGAAGAGACACTATGGTAACTACTATTATGTCGAGATTATCTTGTGGTGAAACACTATTTTGCTTAAATGGCTATGTTTTGACCTGCGCTGTTTTGTTGTTATGCCTTCTTTTTTATCTCAATCTCCTTTTTATTATCTACTTTTTCATTTTTATCCTTTTAATTAAGGGAAAAATAAATAAAAAATAGCAGGATATATTATAGTAACCCATTTTGATTTCCTATTAACTTGATTTGAAACTCTGTATTGCTCTCACCATCTTGTTTTGACTGATTTTCCTCTATTCTGTTATGCTTGATAGTACCAAGTTTGAAAGTATAGGCAACAACTATGAAGACAAAAAGAATCATTGTGACGCCCATTGTGACTATTATCTTCTTTTGAAGTCCTCTAATGTCTCCAATGTTTTGGTTTTATTGGTCTTATTCTTTACTGTTTTGTTCAATTTTATTATAACTGATGATATAGGCAGTTCTTTTTAAGATAACAAGAGGCATTATGGTTAACCATTGTTGATCACCTTGTATTTTGTTTTTACATTATGTATTATGTCCATCCTTTTGATTTGACTGACTCTGTCCTGGTATGTCACATTTGGTTTTACTTTCTTAAAAAAAAAAAAAAGTAATAAGAACTGTGGGAGTAATAAAACCCAAAATGTGTAATTGTCATTGTACAAAAGAAAGTTCTCTAAAAGATATAACTGCATATATATTTAAGTGTATAAAATAGATAAACATATTACTGAGTTTTGTTGGATCATTGAACAAAACTGGTTGCAGTCTCACTGTTTGAAAGTCTCCTCTACATGCTTACTATTTCTAAGATGACAATATGTAATTAACTAGTGATTTCCTACTATTTTTTTCTGAAATTCTGTATAACTTGTACCCTTTTTCTGTTTTTTTTTTCTCCTTAAATAAAATTTAAAATAAAAAAATAAAGATGATAGTGGGACCCTGTCTCAAAAATAAATAAATAAATGAATAAATAAGAGAATAATAAGACAAAAAATAGATAAGCAAACATCTTATTGGCAGGGGTTTTGGAACTAGAAAAGAGAAGGGAGGAGATTAACATAAATATTTCCTTCAACCAAAGAACATGAGGACCCAAGTAAAAGAGACCCATGCAAACTGGATGTGGTGGCTCATGCCCATAATCCTAGCATCCTGAGCAAAGGCAGGAAGATAGCAAATTCAGGCCAAGCCTACACAACTTAGAGAAACCCTGTCTCAAATAAAATGGGGTGGGATGCAGCTCAGTGTGAAGGTTATAGGTTTTATCTCCAGTGCTGAGGGAGGATAAAAAGACCTACACTCACACAAAGTACTCAGCATACGAAGTGGAGAAGTCGTACCAAGCTACAGCACTAAAATTTTCATATTTAAGGGAAAAAAAAAAAGACTGAGACTCTAGAAAGAAGAAATAAATCACTATTATGGACTGGGGCTCTCAAATATACATATATGAAAAGAACTTCTATATTTGGGAAGAAAATAATTTCCAATCTGGCATTATAAGAACTCTGTCAATGGGGCTGGGGATTTAGCTCAGTGACATAGGTTCCTGTCTTGCAAGCGCTTGGTCATAAGTTAAGACTCTGTCAAAATACCAAATTTGAAGTCCAGAGGGAGAGTGAAAAGAGAGACTTCAATGTAGAAGGAGGTGGTGGCAAGCAGCACTTTCTCTCTGAGCCCTGACTCACTGTGTAGGAGGGGATGCTCAAACCTGCAGACGCATGGTGCCTACCGGTGACCCCAGAGGCCTCCGCAAAAAAACACACCAGTGGAATGGAGTAGCAGACACAGTGAACTGCACTGGCTGGTGAGTATGTGGGATTTGGAAGTTCCCCTAAAAAGAGTGACTGGCTAGTAGCCATGTTGCAGAGGGGCCCACTGAGCCTGGGATTCAGAGCAGCTGCTGGGTCCATCTAGGGGCTCCCAGTATCAGAGTGAGGCCGAAACAAGTTCAAGTCAGGAGGTCAAGGAGGTTCAAACTGACAGGGAGCCAAGTTCAAGCTAGCAGGAGCCACATAAGAACAAACTGGGCCAGAAACCAGCCTGAACTTCACAACTACAGATGGGATTGTCCACTGTGCTGCCATAAACCTACAACTGGCTTGCTGGGATTAATCATTACAGATCTGTGAACTATCACAAAGAATCAACAACTTGTGATTGTATCTTATTAATATGCTTTTCCACAGCAAGAGTAATCACCAGCAGTGCAGAGACAACCCATAGTGCGGGGAAAAAATTTTGCCAGCTGTTCCTTAAAGAACTATTATCTAGAATATATAAAGAATTTTAAAAAATGAGATGCCTCGAATTTAAAGACCCAATCCAAAAATGGGCATCTAGAATGAATAGATACTTCTCAGGTGAAGTAGAAATGGCAAATAAATATATGAAAAAATATTCAACATCACTGGTCATTTGAGAGATGCAAATTAAAACAATGCTGAGATTCCATATCACTCCAGAAGAATGGCTGTTATCAAGAAATCATCCAATAACAAATGCTGGAGGAGCTGCGGGGGGAAAAAGAACCCTTATCCACTGTTGGTGGGAGCGTAGACTGGAGCAACCACTGTGGACATTAGTGTGGAGATTCCTCAAAAAACTAAAACTAGAGGTTCCATTTGACCCAGCGATTCCCTTTTTTGGTATCCTTCTAAAAGAATTAGAAACATCATGCCACCGTGATATATGCATACCTGTGTTTATTTTTTTGTTTGCATGTAGGTATGTGTATATTTGTTTTGAGACAGTGTCACTATGTGGTGCAGCCTGGCCTTGAATTCACTTACGTAGCCCAGGCTGGCCTCAAACTCACAGCAGTCCTCTTGCCTCAGTTATGTAGTGCTGGGATTACAGGTATGTTCCACCACGGCTGGCACATACCCATGTTTATAGCAGCACACTTGGTAGGCTAAATCTTGGAAGTAGCCCAAATGCCCATCAACTGATGAATGGATAAAGAAGATATGTTTTTCCTTTCTTTTTTTTTTATAACAGTGAAGTACTTACTACTTATTCTGCTATAAAGGATAAACTTGAGCCATTTCTAGCTAAATGTATATATCTTTTTTTTTTTTTCTTTTCTTTTTGAGACAGGTTCTTGTTGCACAATTTAGACTAGCCCTGAGCTCACTTTGTAGCCTAGGCTGGTCTTGAACTCGAAATTATCTTCCTGGTTAGCCTCTAAGTGCTGGGATTACAGGTGTGAGCCACTACGCCCGGCCTTAAATGTTTGTATCTTGAGACCATACACTTAAGTGAACTAAATTGGACATGCATGTTTAAATACTACACTTGTTTCTCTAATATGAGTAACTGAGATCATAAATAAGAATCAAAATGTATAACAGATACTGGGACTAGGAAGGAAATGTTCAAATGAGAACAAGGAAGGGGGAAAGAAGAAAGGAAAGAGGGGACAAAAAAAAAAAAAGGAAAAGGAAAATTTTAAAAAAAGAATAGACTAGAAGGAAAAAAGTGGAAGCTGGGTGTGGTGGCACACATTTGTAATCCCAGCTGAGGATCACTGTGAGGTACAGGTCAGCCTGGGCTATGTCCTAAGGCCAATCTGAACTACATAAGAGGCTGTCTCAAAACAAACAAACAAACAAACCAAAAGAGGAAAAAGATGGAAACAAAGATTTTCTAAGTAAGGAGGGGAATGGTAAAAAAACAGCAAGATATATCTATCATGTACAGGTACAAACTACCGATGAGAAATGTTACTGCTATATATGTGCATCTAAAATGTACCAATAAACACACACACATAGATATATGAACAGAGTGGCCACTATAGACAGAAGAGGATCGAGAAAGATAAGGAAGCTTTGTTCTTTTTCTTTGTAGTATTCATGCCCTGTAGTATTGCTTGATATTTTTTTGAACTGTAGAATTACATTCCTATTAAAAATAAATTTTCTAGGGGCTGGGGATTTAGCTCAGCGGCATAAGCGCTTGCCTTTCAAGCAGGCAGTTGCAAGTTCGATCCCTGGTACCGATAAAAACGAAAAAAGACAAAATAAATAAATAAATAAATAAATAAATAAATAAATTTTTTTTTTTTTTTTTTTTTTGTCTTTTTCATTTTTATCGGTACCGGGGATCGAATTCACGACTATCTGCTTGCAAGGCAGGTGCTTATGCCACTGAGCTAAACCCCTAGTTAAAAATAAATTTTCAAAAAATAAAAAATAAAAAATAAATTTTCAGGTTGGGCATAGTGGCACACACCTTTAGTCTCTGCACTTGGGAGGCTGAGGCTGGAAGATCTCTGTGAGTTTGAAGCCAGTGTGGGCTACATAGTGAGTTCAAGGCCAGCCTGAACTACATAGTGAGACCCTGCCTCAAAAATAATTAATTAACTTGAAATTACCCCAGCCACAGTGGACAGGGTTACTGAGCTTTGGCTGCACAAATCTAGAACCAGGTTCTGCTTCAGTTACCCAGAACAATTCTGCAGGGCAGTGAGCTTTGTCCAGGAGCTAGGCATTGACCAGGAGCTAGGCACTGGTTACCTTGCCTTTCCTCACCCAAGCCCTTGTCCATGCAACTGACTGTCTTCATTTGTCTCAGCCACTGGATGGCTGAGGGATCATAAAAGCTTGATGCTGCCTTTCTCCTCTCTGCTTCTCTCCATGGCCCCCCACACCCTCTAGCTCGAAGTCCAGAACCAAGCAGGTGTTCGGGTCCAGCGATTCTCTCACACGTGAGAAAAGAAAAGAGTGGGCAAAGCAGCCCCTGTGAAGCAAAAATGTTTGGAAAGGGGAGGCAGCCTGGCTGAGGCCTGGCAAGCTCTGACCAGCCGTGCAACAACTCCTTCATCCTTGCCCAACAGTTTGTCTCTCCTGTTTTTTGCCATCCCTGAGCCTCACTGCCACACCAGGAGCTTCTGTCTTCCCCCCACAGCTGGCCCAATGTCCTCCTCTTACCACAGGCAACCCAGAGGGTCTAAAGGGGCCGTTCCAAAAAACTCCCACAGAAACCAAAGCTCATTTTAGAGGAGCACTGCCATGCGCCACCCATGCCACCAAATGTTTTATGTGGCTCGTTTAACTCTCATAGAAGTTCCATGAGTCAGGCACTGGTCCGCTCCTCCTGTACATTTACAAATGAGACAACTGAGGTCAGAGAGGCTACGTACTTTTTGGAAGTACTCTTAACCATTAGCTGAGACCCCCCAACAACTGATATTTGCTTCCAGTGGGTCAGTGCTGGCTGAGACCACTGAGAAGGGAAAGTGTCTCCCTCTGGGTAGCAGTAGAGCTGGTGGCAGAGCCTGCACTGGAACCATCTCTTGACTTCTGGCCCAGTGCTTGCCCAGCTATGGAGCATGGACTTCTTGCCTCCATTAGCCTGTCTGTGAATGACTAGGCAGCAAGCAACGCCATGGGAAATCATCCCTGCCCCTCTGGCGACCCAGTCAGACCAGCAGTGCAGGGTAACAAACTGACCCATCCTACCTTTCCGGCACCACTCTCTCCACTGACCACAATGGACTGGTTGACAGGGTCAATCAGACTCTTGACATTCCTGTAGGTCTGTTCTGCCACAGTGAAGATGTGGGGCTTCAGTTTCTGCAACATCAAGGGATGAAATGTAATGTAGGAGAAAGCCTGTACACAGGAGGAGTTGACACAATGATGGCTGAGTCGGAGAGGCTCCCCCCAGGAAAACCTCCCTTGATGTAACAGTGTTGGGGCCAATGGAGGGACTCCTGCAGTGGCTTCTCTCAGCCTGGACACAGTGCTGGCCTCGAGCAGTCCATAATATTAATGCTTTTGTCTTGTCTTGCTTTAAAAACCTTATTTGGCTGCTTATTGTTTCATGTTATACTTTGCAGTCTACCAAAAACATTCTTACAAGTTACTAAGAAGTCTGTGCATTGTTGGATAGCTAACCTTATTTACAGATCAGGTATCTGAGGATTAGAAGAGTTAATAACTGTCCAACGCTACTTAGCAAGTAAGTAGATCCATGCAATTTGAATTCCAAAGCCACTGTTGTTCTCCTTTCCTTAACAGATACTAGTTGCCCTCAGCATTTTGGGCACCAGGCTGGACATGAACAAACAGAGGGGACAATGACCTGGCTTTGGCCCTTGAGGGGCAGGATGAAAAGGAAGCTCTCAGAAGACTGCTCTGGACCCCACTTGGGCACTTCCCATGAGTGAACTTGTAGAAGACCAGGTCACCTGCACCATGCCTCGCTGGCCCAGCCAGCAGTGATCACTTACTGCCTCCTGGGCGAGCAAGCACCCATGAGGATGGTGTCGGAGCTGTCCTTCCCATCTGCCCTTTAACGGCCACCTCTCGCTTGGACTGTTACTAAACTTTCCACTGTTCCCTCTGCCTCACCTTCCTGAACCAAACCCCAGAGTAACCATGTCCCAAGGACTCTGTTTACAGCCCCACCTCTCCCTGGACGAAGCAGCTGTGGATGCCCTGTCTGCTGCGGTGTTTCAGACCCTGCTAAATGGCCTGGCTCTCTGTTGCCCTCACCTGCTGCCTCCCTCCTGCCGGCAAGTTTGCCCTTGCCTCTCCCAGAGCACATCAGCACTTTCCCAGTGAGCCCCTTCCCTGCCTGCACCATCATTAGCCACAACCCAGTAATTTATTCTTCTCAGTAGAGAAGAACATGGGCTGAATTTTTTTAGGGCAGTCCTTATTCTTTTCTGAAAAGCTAGTCTGTTAGGAATACAAATGTATCTTTGTAAATCCTTTCCTATTAATAAACCCATGATTAAGAAAAAAAATCCTTTGCTTTATGCCTACTTTAAGTTGCAAACTCAGTTAAATAAATATTTGTCCCCTGACCCATATCTTCTGTGCTGCAACGATTTCTGGTTTTTTTGGGTGGGGTTGAGAGAGGGTCTTGTTATATAGTACAGGCTGGCCTTGGACCTACTACATAGCATAAGCTGACCTCAAATTCAGCGATCTTCCTGCCTCAGACTCCTGAATGCTAGAATTACAAGGTTGGGGAGCCCAGGAAGCTGAGAGGCAGAGGAAACAGCTGGGCCTTACCTCTGGCTGAGGTGCAGAATGGTACTCTCTCATCAGCTCCGGTGTATAGAGTTGAGGGACTAGCTTAAAGGGGTTCAGAGCTACCAAGGTGCAGCCAGCATTGGTGTAGAACATGTCTGCCATGTACCGGGCGTGCAGGCACCTAAGAACTGAGGCAGAATGCCTTTAGCAAAGTCTGATTCAAACACAGACAAAACTACCACATAGCCACTCAACAGCCCTCCCTCTATAATTAGCCAAGTGCCATTAAATCCCAGCAGTTCCCTGATGAGCAGATATAAGATCTAATTAAGACGAGTCCCAAATCTGGAGCAAAGCCTGCCCTGGGGAGTCAAGATATAGCTGTCAGGCTCCTTTGGGCTGAGGTCTAGACTGTGTATCTGGCCCTAGGTCAAGAGTCTTGCCCTCCATGGTCTGCTCTGGGGAAGCCGTGCTGGACACCCTGTTGTACTGCCACCCTCTAGGAGATGGCCCTCCAGAGGAGAGGGAGGTCCATACCTGTCTCCAGAGTCACAGAATTCACCTTGGTCAAGTCATCCAGTTGGTGTAGTGGGGCCTCCCTACTCAGGAACTCCTGCAGGTCTTCTCTGAGTGATGCCTTGTTTTGGCCATCAGAGCCTGAGCTGCGGTCGCTCACCTGCAGGAAACAACATAAAAGCCATGTGGACTGAAACTCCAATTGGCTGGCAGCTAATAAAAGTGAGAGCCTATAGAGAACAAAGGACAATGCTGTGGGATCAGAATATGGTTGGGTTCTTTCAGTTCCACCACTTACTAGCTCTGTGAGCCCGGGTAGTTAACCAGCTCTTTAAGCCTCAGCTTCTTTATTTTTTATAAACAAAGGATCACAAATCTAACTCACAGGGCTACTGGCAAGAAGAGACATATGAAGCATTAGTCAGGACCTTGCACACAGTAAGTGTTCAATAAATGTTCTCCTGTCTCCTCTGCCAAGGGCGCCAGCTGAGTCAGGCGCCACGCTACCAGCCTTACTGGTAGTAAGCAAGGCAAAAAAAAGAAACCAAGGGACAGGCCTTGTTTGAAAGAAACAACTCAGGTGTAGTGAAAAATAGCTGTATCTTCCCAGAGAAGCAATCCTATGCTTTTATCACCTGCCCCTCAGGGCTTAAATTCAGCCAAGCTAGTGAACAGGTTCCTCTGCCCCAGGTCTATGGAGTGGCTGCCTGGCTCAGAAGTCTGTATGAGGCCAAGAACAGGCACTGAGGCACTTTTTTGGGGGGATGGGGTGAGACATGGTACTAGGAATTGAAGCCAGAGCCTTCGCACTAAGCTATATCCCTGTGTCTTAGTTAGCTTTCGTGTTGCTGAGACAAAATACTCGACACTGAAAGTTGAAGAAAAGCTTATTTAGCTCACTTTGTAGAGGTTTCAGTTCTTAGTTGGCTCCAGTGTAGGGTGGCACATGGCAAAGGGGGATCACAGAGGAAAAAGTCCATGTCAGGCAGAAGGCAGCCAGGCAGTTAAACAGCAAAGAAGCAGCAAGCAACAAGCAGTGAGAAGAGCAACTCTCTTTCCGTCCCTTATATTTTAACTCAAACACAGGGTGGAAGATCCTTGAACTGTACCATGAATCACTCCCAGCATCACACACTCTCCATCCAGCTATCTTTGAAAAGCCCTTCTGTGACTGCATGAGGCTCTGTGGCGACATCCAGACACAAGCCATAACACCCTGGTCCTTTTTATTCTGAAATAGGGCCTCACTAAGGCACTAAGTTGCCTGGGAAGGACTTGAACTTGCAACAATCCTCTCAAAGGGCCAAGATTACAGATGTGCGCTGCTACCTGCAGCTCAAAACCTGCTTTTCCATTCTGGTAAGGACTCAAACTTTAAACCTCTTACTGAAACACACTAAGGGGGCAAGTTTTATCTGCAGAGGCCCAGGAATGAGTTTCTTCCAAAAAATACTGTCTGTTCTCTCAGCTTTGGACCCACCATTCTACACAATGTAGGGTAATCACCACAGTCAGCACAGCTGAACCCATGCAAACCCCTCTGTTCTAGTGAAAAGAAAAACCCACTAACTCAGCTACAACTTATGATCAGCTCAGATCCAACTAGAGGCAGCTTAATATAATGATCAAGAGCCTGGATTTGAAAGCTAAATTGCTATACTAGTTGTATAATCTTACATAAGTTTTGAAAACTATTTGTGCCTTAATTTTTTTTCCTCTGTGAAATGAGAATGGTGATTATACCTACATCACAGATAATAAGTGCATGAAAGGTACGGTGGTGCATTAATCACAGCACTCTAGGAGGCTGAGATAGGAAAATTACAAGTTTGAGTTCAATCTGGGTAACGCAGTGAGACCTCACCTTGAAATAAAATACTGTAAAAAGGACTGGAGATGTAGCTTAGTGCTAAGCACTAGATTCAACCCCAGTACCCCCCACACAAACCTGGGGGTTTAGAAAGGCATCTGGAATATGACAAAAGAAGTCAGCTATTCTTCTACCATAGAAGTCATGCTTCTTGTTAGTCAATACAACAGCCAGGGCTTTAAAACTATGTGTCTCAGAGGCAAGCCTGCAATTCTGCTTCTCAAAGATGATTTATGCAAATGTCTGTGTATAAAACCATTTATAGCTGTAAAAGTTTTGAAAATTCTGTGTGTGGTGATACATGTCTGTAATTCTAGCACTCAGGAGGCTGAGGAAGGAGAATTGCCAGGAGTTTGAGGCCAGCCTGGATTATACAGGGAGTTCAAAGCCCGCCTGACCTATAAAGTGAGACCTTGTCTCAAAAAAAGAATTGGGGGCTGGGGATTTAGCTCAGTGGCATAAGCGCCTGCCTTGCAAGCAGGCAGTTGTGAGTTCGATCCCTGGTACCGATAAAAAAGAAAAAGACAAAAAAAAAAAAAAAAAAAAGAATTGAAAGCTACAGGGTCCAAATAGTAAACTGCTTATGCTAAGGTACATCTATTCAATGGAAGCAATTTATAAAAAAAGTATAACTTATATGTTCTTAAAATATATATTTTAGGAAAAAATTAAGACATTCTCTAAATTGGTTTTTTCTGAGTAATATGCTTATGCATAATTTTAATGTTGCTTTTGCTTATGCTCATTTTCCAAATTTCTAATAATAAATGTGATGTTGAGTAAGTCATTCAGCATCTCTAATCCTTATCTCCCTCTAGAATGGGACATGGCAGCACTGTCTAGTGTATAACACTACATACTCCTTATAGGAATGTTGTGTACATTAAACAAAATTATGTGTATTACTCTGAGTGTACTATATACACAGGGGTGTTGATAGAACAGTTACGGTAAATGTGACTACTTTTAGGAAGAAAAAAGTTTAAAAATACAAAAGTCTGTTTCTCTCCAACCTTCAAGCCCGTTTCTTCAACCAATGGTAGGAAGGTAAAGCAGCAGTATGTGTCATGAGGCCTTTGAGGTCAGCCAGCTCCACACCTGGCTGTTCGGCAGACCTGGGACTCCACTACGCTGTAAAACATGTACCTCAGCCTACAGGATTTGATGCCACATAGGTTAGGGGTGACAGCAGCCTTTTCAGAGAGGCAGAGGCCTGGAATAGAGACAGGTTTCAAGTACCCCATGATAATCCATTCATCAGAATCCTTCTGTAATTTCACATAAGTTGTCTTCGTCTACATTTTTGTAGAGACTGATCCCTTTGCCTGGACTGCTTATTATCCTTCTCCAGTTGACTAATTCCCTCTTATTCTTTTTTTTTTTTTAACACTTTTTTTTTTTATCGGTACCAGGGATCGAACTCACGACCACCTGCTTGTAAGGCAGGTGCTTATGCTGCTGAGTTAAATCTCCAGCCCCTATTCCTTCTTATTCTTTAAGCCTCAGTTTCCAAGAACACTCTTCTTGGATATCCTCAGCTTCTACTGTGCCTCGACTTTAGGCTGGTAGAGACATTGCTTAACACTCCCTCTCTATAAAGTCAACAGAGTGACCTATGGATTCCTTTACCTATCCCACCTTATCCCTCCCAAGGAAAAGAGCTAAAAACCACAACAGGAGAGATTAAAATGAGATCTCCAGAGCACTGAGGTGATTACCTAAAAGGAGAACAGAAGAAAGATCCCTTAAAGGTCTTTCTTGTCCTTCCAGGTAAGAGCAGCAGAAACTTCATTCAGGCACATGAAAGAAGGGAAGCTGCTTCAAGTGTCCAAGGGCCTGGGTTACATAATGCTCACATCTTACCTGATGGAGCATCCTGCTTCAGTGTAGTCAGCCAGGATTCTGTTTGCAGGCCCAAGGAGTGCTATCCACTTGATCACAGGACCATGGGCACAGTAAAGTGCTCAGGTCTAGAGGAGTCTCAGGCGAGTCATCCTAGACAGGAGACAAGGGCCACACACAGGTAAGGACTTCTCCAGGGTGATTCATTCATACTCCTCCCACTAAGCAGAACCAAAATGAAAACTAGGGCAGGCCTGGGCAAAGAGTGAGAGTCTGTCCTTTTCCCCAATAATTATGGAACTGGGGAAACTCTGATGAGAGCCTCCAGAGATCCCCTGGGCTACTTTACGAAGTTTTCCTTGCAGTAACACCTCTAGGTAGAGTGTAGTCGTGCATGCCTACAATCCTAGTATTCAGAAGGCTGAGGCAAGAAGATCCCCAACAGTTCCAGGTTACATAGCCTGGGCTACTTAGTGAGATCCTGTTTCAAAACAAAACAAAACACCCAGACAAAAAAAATCTCAGGGTCAGTTTTACTAATTTTAGGGTTAGGTGGGGCTGCAAATCTCTTGGGTCAATATGTTGTGGAGGCTAAAGACTAGGGAGACGAGAGCCTCATGCTCTATCGTCACCACTGGATGCAAATATCCTACTTCAGTATAGTCATGGGGATGGGGAGAAGAGGCTGGAGTCAACTCCCAATGTAACAGGAAGCTGTTGTATGAGACAGAAAACAGTTCAGCCATTCATTGAGTGTGTGACCTTGGGTAAGCCACATCACCTACCTCCAACTCACCTTGAAAATCCAATCGTTAAACATAGTTTACAAAGAGTGGTAGTTAAGGTCAATAAGGTCATGGTTCGGTTCAAAGTACCATACACAGCTGTGAATTGTGTTAACACTGCAACTACTGGTTGCTAATCCATGTGGGGATGCTAACTAGGTGGAGAATCCAGTGTCAACTTCAAGTAGATGAGATGGGGATGGGTCTGTCATTGATGGTGGGTGTGGCAAGGTGAGACAATACCAGACTTTGAAGGTTGTTGACCTTCAGACTTGGAAGACCCCATACCTCAACACCTCCCCCAGCAAACAGGGATGAGAATAGAGGCACACTTGTAATCCTAACATTAGACTTTTTAAGGCTCTTGATATATCTAGTCTTTTAAAGAAGCTAGGGATAAGAGACTTCCAAGAAAATTAGGAAAAGGGCAACTTAGGCAGAAAAATGTGTCAGAACTATATCTGACACAGTCACCGAGGACATTGATGCTATTCCATCCACATCCTAGAGACAACCACACAGAGGTCTAGAGAGACTCAATGGGAACAAATCTCCCTCAATCGGTGGTTTATCTAGAGACAAGTCCATTGGACGCCCAGTATGGGGGTAGAATTCAAAACGCATATCCTTTCACAGATCACAAAAGCTCATTACTTTTCTACATTTGCAAATGGAGACATAACATCCAGACTTCACCAGGGCTAAATGTCTCAAACGGGCTACTTTCTGTGAAAGCTTTGCCAATTTGGTTTTTACCATGAAGTATTAGCTCCAAGCTGGAGTCAAGTCAGAGCTGAGCGGTTCTCTCTAGTTTCCCATTTCCTGCTTCGTGTTCGCAGTTACCAAGACTTTATGAAGGGCTGGGGATTTACTTCAGCAGCATAAGTGCCTGTGCTTGCTAGCGCGCGGTTGTGAGGTCGATCCCCGGTCCCGATTAAAAAAAAAAAAAACAAGACTTTCTAAAAAGGGTGTGACAGTGGGCAGAAGAGAGTAATGAATATATGCAATACTGGGTCTAGGCATGTGGTAACCTGATCACCACCACCTCCTTCTCCTGGCGTCGGTTTTTTCTTGGCTTGGAGGGCACACTCGGGGGAGACGTAAGTAAGGGTGCTGTATACCCAGCAGGAACCGCCCCAGGTTCCTGGCGGGAATCGCGACTCCAGGTCTGGGCGACGTGCCCGCGGTGCCCAGGGCAGGATGCCGCTCCGGAAGCACCTGGCACAGAGAGGATGTCCTCTAGCAAGGTGGACACGACTCCGGCCAAGGGCAAGGTCTCCCTGATGCCTCCTAGGACAGCATCCTTCACCCTGGTCCCTGGATAGGGTCTGGAAAGGAGCCAGCGACCAGATACAGTCTGCCAGCTGAGACCCCTCCCACCCTTGGCCGCTCTCTGCCTGCGAGGTGGAAAGGTGAAGGGTGACTGTGAAAGGTCCTCGCTCTTGGGAAGAGCAAGGCTAGTTTCACGCGGGACAAGGGCGAGCCGAAACGGAAAAGAGGGAAAGGGCTACAGCGATTTAGGGAGGAAAGAGGAGGTAACCCCTTCTACCTTACAGCTGCGGGTCCAACTTCTCTTCCCTGCCCCTTACGGGCCGTGCAGGGCTCCGGATTTGGGCCGGGTGCCACTCGCCCCTCCCAAGCCCCAGCTGCAGAGCGTGCAGACCCCACGGACTGAAGGGCGGGCGAGGAGGAAGAGAGGCGGGGGCGAGCCGAGAGCCGCAAGGAGCCAGAGCAGGACCGGGTCTAACCCGTCTAGCCGCCGCTGGGCTAAGTGGCCGGGCCTGGCCGGCTCCTCCCCGGGGCGGGGCGCGCACACGCGGCGGGGCGCACGTGGCGGGCCCGGGACGCTGAGGTCTGGCTGGCTGGCTCCACCTGGGACAAGACGGGGACGCCTGGGTTGGAGGAAGGCAGTAAGACGGCCTCCAGCCTTCTGGGGCAGACGCGGGGGAAGTGTGTTTGCTGGGCGCCCGGGCGCTCCGAGGGTCGTGAGCTACTTGGGTGGGTCCTGAGCTGACGCGCCGGACTGTTACCCTGCAGGGCCTCGCAGCGGGACCCGGGGGCACCTTTTCTACCTCTCTCGGGGGCCGACCTATAGCCCCGAGCCGGTGGGGAAGGCGGGGCTCGGGGAGCGCGGCAACCGGGTCCCGGCGCGGAGAATCTGCCGGCCGGAAGAGCAGGCGGTCCCGCGTCCACCGGAAGCGCCGCTGGGGAGGCGGAAGCGCTGTTCCCGATGCGGTGGGTCCCCGGCCGAGGCGGGCGACTGCTTGGGAAAGGACTTTACAAGGCCAGCTGATTTTTGTCGGTTACTGTGAGGTATTGTTGCAGGGCCCGGGCCAGCTATAGTGCATGCATACAGTCATTTATTCAGTATATTTGGGCAATAAATGTTTTCTGCCAGTGTGCCACTTTTCAGACATTGGCTTGTGGCAGAGAGATGGCTTATAGTCTTTACAAAAGAATATATGACCATAAATAAGAGGAGCAACAGCCTGAGACTCAGGAGGGCTTGCCTTTTGTACTAGGGACAGTAGGTTCAGACAGGCTTTGAACACAACAGAAATCGAGATCCTCAAACTCTAAAGCATACTCAGAGTTTCTCCCAGTGTTTGAGCCTGTTTTTTTGCTTTTAACGGAGTTTTGGTATGTAATTCAGATAGACCTTGAACTGGCTAGCCCAAACTGGCCTTGAACAAGCAGCTGTCAATTGCCTCTGAGTGCTGGGATTGCAGGCCCACTTCCGGCTTCCAGTTTGACTTAAAGTCACTAGGAATAGCTACTGTACCATTTATGATATGGCCACCCAGTATTTATGATATGGCTACACACAATCCGTGCTGATAGTAGAAATTCCTGTGATGCCATTCTCAGGATTTTCATCCCAAATTTGCCTTGTAAGTCTACCATATATTGAGAATAAATCTTCCTAAATAAAGAGATAATTTCCGGGCTGGGAATTTAGCTCAGCGGCATAAGCGTCTGCCTTGCAAGTGTGTGGTCGTGAGTTCAATCCCTGGTACCGATAAAAATGAAAAAGACCAAAAATAAATAAATAGATAATTTCATACTCTTCCAATGATACGTCTATATCCTAATGCATCAGCTTCTTTACATAATCCTTGGAAGGGGAATTACAAGTCCTAGGTTCTCCCCTTGATTTGAAATGACTAGGGCCTAACCTGCTCTGAAGCCTAGAAAAAAGAGTAAAATCAAAGCCAGGTGTATATATATGCTATTTTTATCAGAGTGTTGTTTTCTGCAAATCCATTCCTTCGTTCTTGTTTTCACAGGAAGAAAACATGTCTCAAAAGCAGTTGAAAGAAGCTTTCATCAGTAACCTCAATGGAACTAGTGTGCTGGAAATCACCCAGGGCTTATGCTTACCTGCATTCTGTATCCTGTGCAGAGGGCTCCTGATCATTTCCTTACAGCACTTGAGTTCTTTTTCACATAACTGGAGAACTCGATTCTTCGTTGATTTTGTTGTCCTAGTCATTCCCCTTGTGACTGCTTTGACCATTTTATCTTCATTTATCTTCTTTGAGCTTCTCATTGTAATTATGTGCGGGGCAGGGCTGGTCTATCAAATATACCAAAGGAGAACTTGCTATGCTAGAGTGCCTGTCCAGAAAATCCTTGAAAAATTCTTGCAAGTCAGTCTGGAATCAGAATACAATCCAACCATCTCTAATTACCGTGTATCCAACAGTGTATTTGTCGCTATTGCCATTTTGGCTGTGGACTTCCCACTTTTCCCCAGAAGATTTGCTAAAACTGAGCTCTATGGGACCGGGGCAATGGATTTTGGAGTAGGAGGCTTGGTTTTTGGGAGTGCAATGGTTTGTCCAGAGATCAGAAGGAGAAAACATAGGGAGGGATTTGGATTTCATCTTTTAAAATCGTTGTACTCTGTTTGGCCATTAATCATCCTAGGACTAGGACGACTAATTACTATAAAATCCATAGAATATCAGGAACATTTAACTGAGTATGGAGTACACTGGAACTTTTTCTTCACATTAATTGTTGTAAAACTGGTAACAACAGTGCTTTTGATTGTGTTCCCCTTAAATAAATCCTGGATCGTGGCAATCAGCATTATTGTATTATACCAGCTAACCCTTGACTTAACCCCACTGAAGAGGTTCATTTTGTATGGCTCTGATGGCAGTGGCACAAGGGTTGGCTTATTAAATGCTAACCGAGAAGGAATAGCCTCTACTTTGGGATATGTGGCAATTCACATGGCTGGTGTGCAAACAGGATTGTATGTATTTAGGAACAGGATACATATCAAAGACTGGATAAAAGTAGCATGTTGTCTTCTACTAGTAAGTATTAGCCTCCTCACATCCCTCTACATAGTTCAAGTAAAGGTAGAAGCGGTATCTCGAAGAATGGCCAATTTAGCCTTTTGTATGTGGATAGTTGCTTCTAGCCTCATCTTTCTTAGTTGTTTATTACTGACTGATATAATTTTGAGTTTTGCCAAATTTCTGATTAAAGGGGCTCTAGTACCATGTTCTTGGAAACTTATCCAGTCACCTGGTACAAATAAAAAGCATTCTGATTTTCTAGTCCCCAAAGCTGAAAGAGAAGAACTCAGTCCTTGTTTAATCACAGCTCTAAACAGAAACCAGCTAATGTTTTTCTTGCTGTCAAATATAACAACTGGCCTGATCAACCTAATGGTAGATACATTACACAGCAGTACCTTGTGGGCATTATTTGTGCTTCATGTCTATATGTTTACCAACTGTTTAATTATATACATACTTTATTTACAAGGTAAAACTGTGAAGTTTTGGTGATTAATAAGGGTAGGGCATACTTTGAGCAACATATTAATGGGGAAGAATAAATGTGACAAAAAGAGACTTTCAGAAACAAAGTCTTTACATACTGTTGTAACACTGAAATTCCAGCCAGGCATGGTGGCACATGCCTATAATCCCAGCACTTAGGAGGCTAAGGCAGGAGGATCACTGAGAGTTCAAGGCCTGCATGTCTTAGATAGCGAGAGGGTATCTAAAACACAAAAAATCTGAAGTTCCAGTCCTCTAATAGCAATGATGTCTGTCTCTTTTCTTTTTTTCCTTCTTTCTCTTTCTTTGAAGTAGGAGGGGTCTTGTAAGTTTGCCCAGGTAGGTCATCTTGCCTCAGCTTCCTGAGCATTGGGAATTACAGCCATGTGTCACTGGACCTGCCTGCTTATTTTAATGTTTCTCAGCATTACACACAATCAACAGAAAGTAAATTAAAGCCTTGTAACTTGTAAAGCTTTGTTAATTGCCAGTATTTTAAGGGATACTTCAGAGTTTTGACACTGGATTATGGGAAAGTTGGGATTTTTACTATCTTAACATCACCTTATGTCATTTTGTATTTCTTGTTGTATTTTATAATGTTTACATTAAATGGAATGTTACATGAAGACATTTCAGTGTGAATTGCAGATTGTCAATACTTGTTTACTTATTTTTTTGGTACCGGGAATCAAACTCCTGACCTTACACATACCATGTAGGTGCTTGTTCTGCTGAGCTAAATCCCTGATCCAGCAACTTTAGTCTTCATAAAGCCTAGGAAAAAGTACCAAGTATTTAAATCAAATACTTAGGGGATTTAACTCTGGCATAAGCACCTGCCTTGCAAGCAGGCGGTCGTGAGTTCGATCCCTGGTACCGATAATAAAAAAAAAAAATCCCTACCTAAAATCAAATACTGAAGAATTAAAAAAACAGCTGGGGATTTAGCTCAGAGGCATAAGCGCCTGCTTGGCAAGTGTGAAGTTGTGGGTTTAAGCACCAGTACCAAAAATAAATAAATAGAGAAAACAGTTAATGTTCCCAATAGACTGAATTGTATAGTATCACTTTGAAAAATTTATTTTAGTCTACTAAGGATATAATGACAAGCAAAGCACAAATTTCCTGAGATGTTGGAGTTTGCAATCTAGTGGGAAAGACATGTTAAGTAAACATTACAAATTGTTGTTGAGTCAGGAAAAAAAGTATAGGTTGCATAGTATCAAAGATTTAGCTGCGCATAGGGGCTGGGGATTTAGCTCAGCGGCATAAGCACCTGCCTTGCAAGCAGGCAGTCGTCAGTTCGATCCCTGGTACTGGTAAAAAGGAAAAAGACAAAAAAAAAAAAAAAAAAGATTTAGCTGGGCATGGTGGTGTATGCCTGTAATCCCAGCAACCAACAGGCTGAGGCAGGAGAATTGCTGGGAGTTCAAGGGCAACCTGAACTGCAAAGCAAAACCCTGTCTCAAAAAGACAAAAACAATAAAAACACCACTGATTTAGTAAGGAATTACGTTTTCTCCACAGATTTTTTTTTTTTTTTTTTTTTTGTCTTTTTCCTTTTTATCGGTACCGGGGATTGAACTCACGAGCGCCTGCTTGCAAGGCAAGTGCTTATGCCGCTGAGCTAAACCCCCAGCCCGATTTTTTTTTTTTTTGAGCCAAAGATAAGGAATGGGATGAATGGCAGGTGTATAACCAAGTATTCTAGGTAGAAAAGAATCCCTCAGCAAAATCCTAAACTAGGAGGGAATTTAGCATATCTTAGAATTGAAAGAAGGGTGGAACTCAGAAAAAGGGAGTGAAAGCAGATCAGGAATGACTTCTTTTCCATGTTAAAGAATCGGTGGGAATAATGAAAATTGTCAAGTACATAGTCTAATAAAACTATGGGTACAGTAAGGTGCTGGTGTAGTACTCGAGAATGAACAGAGCTAAATTCTCAGCCCTTGTTTTCTGTGATAGATTCTTCATTACAGGTTCAGGATGGCCTCAAATTCAGAGCAGTCCTCTTGCTTCAGCCTCCCAAGTGCTGGGATTACGGGTATGCCAACCTTATCAAGCAAGATGGGGTCTTGAAAAGTAGCTAAATTGCTGACTGAGGCTGAATGTGGGATCCTCCTTGCCTTAGCCTCCCTAAGTGATGGGATGAAGGTGTGTGCTGCCACATCTGGCTTATGTTTTTTCTTTTTTCTTTTTTACTGGGAATTGAACTCACAACCTTGCATGTTGCCAGTCAGGCACTTGTGCAGCTATACTATATCCTTGCCCAACATCTGGTTTATGTTAAGTTTGATGTCCTACCAAGAACTGGAGTCACTCCAAGCTGACTTTTGAACCTGCTATTCACATGCTGGCATACATCTGTAATCTCAGCTATCCAAAAGGATCAAAAGTTTTAGGCCAGCCTGGGCAATTAAGTGAGACACTGTGTCAAAATTTAAAAATGGGCCGAGAATGTAGCTGTAGTGGTAGAGCACTTATGTAGCATGCACGAGTCCATGTGTTTGATACCCAACACTGGGGAAAGGAAGGAAAATCACAATTTTGAGCCCAACCTGGGCAATATAGTGATTCAGCAAGAATCTCAAAAGGCTTGGGTGTATAGCTCAGTGCAAGGAGCCTTGGTTTAATCCTTAATATTGTAAAGATAAATAAAAATAATCCCCATAAAAACTTTCAATTTCTAACCAGCCTGGGCTATATCGAGACCCTGTCTCAAAAAGACAAAAAAAAAAAAAATTCCAATTTCTAGTTCCAAATTTCAGTGTATCATTGAAGTGGACGAAAATAAAATTAAAATTTGACTTTAGTTCTGTTTTCAAGTAGAAGTCTGATTATTATAGAAATAGCTAGGGGTCAGAATGTTTAATTTGATGTTTGGTAAGCAATATGTATAGAGCAGGAAGAGCCTCTATTAAATTGTACATTGTTTTAATGAGTTCCCTCCAAGCTAACTTAAAATTTGTTGTTTGGGGGCTGGGGCTTTAGCTCAGTGGCATAAGCGCCTGCCTTGCAAGCAGGCAGTCATGAGTTCAATCCCCAGTACCGATAAAAAGACAAAAAAAAAAAAAAATTGTTGTTTGTAGTGCCAGGGATTGGACCCAGGGACTTGTCCATGCTAGGAAATTGTCTAGCATAAGCTATACTCTCTAGTCCCCAAATTTATTTGGTTTTTTTGAGGCAGGGTCTTGATAGGAAGCCCAGCTGGCCTGAAACTCTCACTCCTGCGTTAGCCTTCTGAGTGCTGGATTATAGGTGTATGCCACCATATCCAGATTTAAACTTTATTTTAATATAAATGTTAGTTGTTGGGGCTGGGGATTTAGCTCAGCAGCATAAGTACCTGCCTTGCAAGCGGGTGGTCATGAGTTCGATCCCCAGTACCGATAAAAATGAAAAAGACAAAAAAAAAAAATTAGTTAAGTGTGACGTTATACTTAATTTGTTAAGTTGGTGGCATATTACTTTATATTTGTAAACTATAATCAATTACATTGGAAGTTTATTACTAAAAGAATTCCCCCTACCACCACGTCGGGGACTAGCTCAGTGGCGTAAACACCTGCTTGGCTAATGGGAAGTTGTGAGTTTGATCCTCCTCACCCAAAATCAGTATGTGGAAGCTATATAGCAATGAAAAAGTTTTTTCAGCACTGGGGAATTAACTCAGGGCCTTTACACTGAGCTACATTCTCAGTCTTTAAAAATAAAACAACAAAAACCTTTTTTTTGAGGCAGGGTCTTACCATGCAAGCTAGCCTTGAACTTTCTTGTGTAGCCCAAACTGACCTGGAATTTTCAGCTATCCTCCTGCCTCAGCCTCCCGAGTACTGGGTGTGCACCACCAAGGCCAGCAAAAAAGAAAAAAAAATAATTTTTTTTGATACTGGGGATTGAACTTGACAGGAAAGTGCTTGTGCTGCTGATTTAAATCCCTAGCCCCTCCTCCAAATTTTTTAAAACAGGTTTTGCTAAATTGCCCAAGCTAGGCTCAAATTTATAATCTTCCTCTTTCAGCAGGGATTGGGGCTACAAGGATTACTGGGTTGTGCCTTCATGCTAGGAGCTATCTTTTAATTTGTGGATATTATTTTTCCTTGTAAAATATCTGAGGAAAATATATTTCTATTTTTAACAGGTAAAATAGAAACTTTCAAAAGCAAGAAACTGTCTAGCTGTCTGTATCAGAGAATTTGTAGATTGTGTGTGTGTGTGTGTATATATATATATATATATATATATTTTTTTTTTTTTTTTTTTTTTTTTTTACTTTTTGTGACACTTCTCCCTATGCAGTTCGGGCTGGCCTTTGACCACTTTGCAACCCAGGCCGATCTCTAACTTGCAGCTATCTTCCTGCCTTAGTCTCCCAAGAGCTGGGATTACAAGCATGCCCCATACCACTCCTGGCTTAGTGTTATATTTAAATAACATTGTCATTTTGGGTTTTTTTGGTACCAGGAATCATACTCAGGGTCTTGTGCTTGCCAGGCAGGCACTGTGCCACTGAGCTGTATCCCTAGCCTTGATTTTTATGTTAAACAACAAAGTTATAGTTTAATCAAATATCCTTTTCCTAAGGCTGGGGATTTAGCTCAGCAGACAAGCGCCTGCCTGGGCAAGCTCAAGGTCATGAGTTCGGTCCCTGGTACCAAAAAAATAAAACAAAATCATTTTCTGTGCAGCTGTTCTTTACTAGTAGTCAGTGTAAGTTCAGTGAGTAACTAAAATAGCAACTATGAATTAAGCTTGTTACTCTCAATGTGCTTTCTTTACCAAACTGATCCAAATGAAGTTTGAAAGACAAAGTACATACACTGATGTACCTATAGACACATTTCTAGACTCTTTTGTTTTTGTTTTGTTTTGTGGTACTCGGACTCAAACTCACAACCTTATACTTGTCAAGCAGGTGCTTAAGCCACTGAGCTAAGTCCCTGGCTCCATGTTTCTAAACTTTAAAAGCCACAGTATTCTTGAGTGTTTCATAATGGAAGATTCTTTTTTTTTTGGTACTGGGGATTGAACTCGCGACCTTGAGTTTGCACTTACACCACTGAGCTAAATCCCCAACCCATTTTTTTTTTTTTTTTTTGTCTTTTTGAGTAAGGGTCTTGCTATGCAGTTCAGGCTGGCTTTGAGCTCACTTTGTAGCTCAGGCTGATCTCAAACTTGCAAGATCCTCCTGCCTCAAACTCCTGAGTGCTGGGATTACAGGTGTGAGCCACTATGCCTGCCTACAAAATTCTTTATATCCAAATTTTGACTGTGACCTGTAACCCTGTCATAAGTTGCACATACATCCTATATGCCTATGGAATTTAATGATTATATGGTTCTGTGATTTCTTAATATGAAAAGATAAAACACTAGATACTTACACCCTGGAATTATACAATGGTTTTCCCAGCTTATTATGTCACTTACCCTAGCAGTGACCACACAATGCCGTAAGTCAGCATGGCTAAGGATGCACTATGGAGTTTATGTTATGAATTTCTAAGACTTCATATGATGTTCAAAATACTTTTCTATTTATTTATTTATTTTTGTCTTTTTCCTTTTTATCAGTACCGGGGATCGAAATCACGACTGCCTGCTTGCAAGGCAGGTGCTTATGCCACTGA